GCAAAACGGTCCTCAGTCGCTTTTCCCAGGACCGTTGTAACTTTGAACGGTCACTAAATGAACGGCGGCAAGTCGCAGGCTGACTGCACAGTCCTTGAAAATATATGGAACCATTCGTTTAGTGACCAAATTTACAACAGCACTGAAAAGAAGGGACTTAAGACCATATAATAATAATAATAATAATAATAATAATAATAATAATAATAGTCCCCCAGTGAGGCACTACCTTGACGTGGTTGTGGGGCTTGTGTACTCTGAGGAAGATGAGAGCTATGCCAGAGGTTCAACCATACTGGACAGGTCTCATCAGAGGAGTCAGACAAAGAGTGTCTCTCCCATACAAAATATGGTGAGACGTAAATTTCAGAATGCCATACCGGCTCCGACGTCGCCCGGGTTAACGAGGTCCACGCTAGATATTGGACTTCCTGGATATCTGGTGAAAAATGAGTTACAGGACTCAGGACTGTTGGCTGAGCAACCAGGGCCAGCAGCTGCAGAACTACTGGAAGAAAAGGTGTTTACCCGTCGCAGATACACAGTGATGGAAAACAAAGAAATAATGATCTGTTACTACAGATCAAGTCCAACAAGAAGAGGATATCTAAAACGAATGCACCAGTTCTGGAAAGAACAACATCCAGAATCAGAAATAACAGAACAGAGACTAGCAGATCAACGCCGATTTATAACACGAAATAAAGTATTCACAGAAACAGAATTGGACGAACTGCAAAGGTTTACCCAGGGCAAAGAAATCAAAGCCTTACCAGAAGTAATTCAGAATGTAGAGGCAAACCAGGGGGAGTTGGCAGTGAAGGAATCCAGCAGAGATATACAACTGTTCTCATTTGGAAACCAGGCACCTCTTCCTCAGGAAGAACAAAACCCTCTAACTAAAGAAATAAAAGAATTGAAACAAAGAATAACTGAGCATCTAGAACAGCACAAAAACAACAGAATAAGGCTGCCTGCATTGAAGCTTGTTCCAAAGAAACAGCTAGCACAAGCATTAAAAGATGCAAATACTGCAATAGCAAGTATAAGCACCAATTCACTGCAAGAAACAAACCAACTAATGTACAGCACAGCTGCAGTTATAACTGAATACCTGGGATGCAAAATCAACAAAGAAGAAAAACAAACAAACAGTGCACCACAAAATGGAAGGTTAGACTAGAAAATAAGATCAGCAAGTTAAGATCACATGCAAGCAAGCTAGAACAGATGAAAGAAAAGAAGCTGAAGAACAAGAAGACCAAAGAATACCTAATCAAGAAATACCACTTAGAAACAAGGAAGATCAAGGAAGCACTGGAAATAATAAAGCAACAAATAACAGCTATAGCCAGGAAAATCAGTAGATATGAAGCTCGAATTGCAAACTATAGGCAGAACCTCCAATTTCAATCCAATCAGAAACGTTTCTACCAATCCATCAATGGAGAAACTGCAAGGAATCAGTCAGTACCTGACAAGGAAGAAACAGTGCAGTTCTGGAAGCAGATATGGGATAACCCAAAGAAATACAACAAGGATGCGGCTTGGTTAAAAGAGGTGGATGCAAATAAAACAGAAGTTGAAATGAAAGAACTAGTAATAACAACAAAAATGGTAGAAAAAAGAGCAAAGAAAATCAAAAATTGGTCAGCACCAGGTGAAGATGAACTGCATGGGTTTTGGTTGAAACATCTAACTGTTATACACCCACTCATTGCCAAGCAGTTCAACAATATACTACAAGGAGGAGAAATTGAAAAGTGGCTAACAACTGGGAAAACCTACCTAATAATGAAAAATCCAGCAAAAGGGGCAACACCAGGTAACTACAGGCCAATTACCTGCTTACCAACAACTTTCAAATTACTAACTGGTGTGGTAGCTGATGCAGTACAACAGCATCTAGTTGAAAACAATCTCTTTCCACCTGAGCAGAAAGGAAACCGCCCCAATAGCAGAGGAACAAAAGATCAACTCCTAATAGACAAAATGATCTTGGAAAACTGCAAGAGAAGGAAGACCAACCTGAATGTGGCATGGATTGACTACAAAAAGGCATTTGACTCTCTGCCACATGATTGGATAATAAAGTGCCTAGAAATAACAGGAGTCAGTAGAAACATCAGAAAATTTGTGCAAAGATCGATGGCACAATGGAAGACACAGTTGCAGATCAATGGTGAGAAGCTGGGAGAGGTTAATATCAAGAGAGGGATATTTCAAGGAGATTCATTATCACCATTACTATTTGTTATTGCACTGTTTCCTCTGTCAACAATACTGAATAACTCAGGACATGGCTATCAAACATCAAAAACATCTGCTAGACTATCCCACCTCCTTTACTGGATGATCTGAAATAGAATCGCTGCTCAACACTGTCCGTATATATAGCCAAGATATTGTAATGGAGTTTGGCTTGGACAAATGTGCCACACTTACTATCAAACAAGGAAAAATAGTGAAAACTGAAGGAATCAAGATGCCCCACGAAAATAACATTAAGAGTCTGGATGAGGAAGAGTACTACAAATACTTGGGTATCCTTCAAGCTGACAACATCAAGCACACTGAAGTCAAGAAAAAGATTAGAGGTGAATACATCAAGAGAGTGAAGAAGATCTTAAAATCCAAACTCAATGGAGGAAATACCATAAAGGCAATCAACACCTGGGCAATCCCAGTCATTAGGTACACAGCTGGAATAGTGGACTGGACTCAAGCAGAACTAAAAGCAATGGATAGGCAGACCAGAAAAATAATGACAATGAATCATGCCCTTCATCCACGCAGTGACATTGATAGACTTTATCTACCAAGGCAAATAGGTGGGCGTGGAATGCTACAAGTACATCAGATGGTTGAAGAAGAAAAAATGGCTTTGGAAGAATATCTGAAGAACAATGATGAAGATGCACTGAAATTAGTATATCAGGAAGGCTTACTAACTACTGGAGAGACCAAACTGGCCTACAAGAAAGACCAAATGAAGAACAGAATAGAGGCATGGGAAGACAAAGCACTACATGGCCAATACATGAAAAAAATAGCTGGGAAAGCAGATAATAATAAAACCTGGCAATGGCTAAGAGCAGGAAAATTGAAGAAAGAGACCGAGGGACTAATTCTGGCTGCACAAGACCAAGCCTTAAGGACAAATGCATACAAAGTCAAAATTGAGAAGACAGCAACAGACAGTAAGTGCCGCCTATGCAAAGAAGCTGAAGAAACAGTGGACCACTTGGTAAGCTGTTGCAAGAAGATTGCACAGACTGATTACAAGCAGCGGCATGACAAAGTAGCAACAATGGTGCATTGGAAGATCTGCAAAAAATATCATTTGCCTGTAAGCAAAAACTGGTGGGATCATAAAATAGAGAAAGTCATAGAAAATGATAAAATTAAACTGCTCTGGGACTTCAGAATTCAAACAGACAAGCACCTGCAACATAACACCCCAGACTTAACAATTGTCGATAAGAAAGACAAAAAAGTCTGGATAGTGGACGTGGCAGTGCCTGGAGATAGCAGAATAGAAGAGAAAGAACTGGAGAAGATAACAAAATACAAAGACCTACAAATAGAAATAGAAAGACTGTGGCAAAAGCAAGCAAGGGTAGTACCAATAGTCATAGGCTCCTTGGGTGCAATCCCAAAACAACTGGAGCACCACTTGAACACCATTGGCATTGACAAATTCGCTATTAGTCAATTGCAAAAGGCGGCCTTATTAGGAACTGCTTCCATCCTGCGACGATATCTGTAATACCATCAAACATCCACATCTGCCTATCCCAGGTCCTGGGTAAGGACTCGATAGGTAGACAAAATGCCAAATCCAGTCTGAACATCTGGCTGACTGTGCGATGATCCATATATAATAATAGTAGTAGTAATAATAGTAATGATAATAATAATAATGATGATAATGATGATAATAATATTGGAAGGGACCTTGGAGGTCATCTAGTCCAACCCCCTGCTCAGGAAACCCTATATCGTTTCAGACAAATGGCTGTCCAGTCTCTTAGAATAGAATAGAGTTGAAAGGGACCTTGGAGGTTATCTAGTCCAACCCCCTGCCCAGGCAGGAAACCCTATACCATTTCAGACAAATGGCTGTCCATTCTCTTCTGGGGGAAAATGGAAAAGTATTTTTAACAACAACAACAATAATAATAAAAAGTTGGAAAGGAACTTGGAGGTCATCTAAGTCTAACCTCCGGCTCAGACAGGAAACCCTATACCCTTCCAGACAAATGGCTGTCTAGTCTCTTCTTAAAAACCTCCAGTGTTGGAGCATTTACCGCTTCTGGTGGCAAGCTGTTCCACTGGTTGATTGTCCTCACTGTCAGGAAGTTTCTCCTTAATTTTAAGCTGCTTCTCTCCTTGATGAGTTTCCCTCCGTTGCTTCTTGTCCTGCCTTCAGGCGCTTTGGAGAATAGCTTGACTCCCTCTTCTTTGGGGCAGCCCCTGAGATACTGGAACACTCCTATCATGTCCCCCCTCGTCCTTCTCTTGGTTAAACTAGACCGACCCAATTCCAGCAACCGTTCCTTGTATGTTTTAGCCTCCAGTCCCCCGATCATCTTTGTCGCTCTTCTCTGCACTCTTTCTAGAGTCTCAGCCTCTTTTTTACATCGTGGGGACCAACATTGGATGCCCTATTCCAAGGCCTTATTCTGTATTCTGCATTCTGTTCTGTAAATCAAACCTTTCTCCCTCATTCTGCTTTCCAGTCCAAACCGGAGGGAGAGCGAGGGAACTTAACGTATTTCCATCGAAAATCAAGTGCTCTGCCTTGAAGGAAGCTCTGCTTGAGTTTTCATGAGTGGACTTTTATGATTTCTCACGTTTTGCCCAGGGCCAAGTGACCTTACAATCCAAAGGAATTCGTGCCATGAGGTCATTGATCCTGGGTGCTCCTCCCAGCGGTCAGTTCCTTCGCCCGGGCTTTAGAAGAATCAAAACACAATGAAAATCAAAACCCAAAGTGATTTTTTTTTTCCAAATGCAAAGTGGTCTTTAATAAGCAGAAACCTTCCTGGCTACTCAAAGCACATTTTTTTTTCCAGACAGGTATGTCTGTCTCGGCAAGGTCAGCCCTGAGTTCAAGTGAGGTCTTCTTAAAGCCATATCTGTCAGCTTGGGGGTCTTCAAACTAGGACATGTGAACTTCAACTCCCAGAATTCCTCAGCCAGCATGGCTGGCTGAGGAATTCTGGGAGCTGAAGTCCACGCGTCCTAAAAGGGCCAAGTTGGAAGACCCCTGACATAATGTGAGGGGGAAATAATGCTAACCCAGAAAGAGCTAAACTGGTGTTTCTTAATCTCGGCCATTTTAAGAGGTGTGGACTTCAACTCCCAGAATTCCTCAGCCAGGCACGCTGGCTGAGGAATTCTGGGAGTTGAAGTCCACGCGTCTTAAAAGGGCCATGTTGGAAGACCCCTGTGTCAGCTCTATTCGAGCAACTGTATAAGCCAGTGTTTCTGAATCTCGGCCCCTTTAAGAGGGGGTGGACTTCAACTCCCAGCATTCCCCAGCCAGCCATGCTGGCTGGGGAATGCTGGGAGTTGAAGTCCGCCCCTCTTAAAGGGGCCGAGGTTCAGAAGCACTGGTATAACAGGTCTAGAAACCAGGAGCCCCGTTGGCGCCTTTCAAAATGGCCACTGAAAGGAATCGCGGCACTAAATCCAAGATTTTCAGTCTGTTGTGAAAATGTCCAGGCTGATCAGAGATCGGAAAGCTGGTATCGCCTCAGGATCCCGTCTCGGCAGCAAGTGTAGATTTCTTTTCCCCACATGGCGACCTAGAAAAAAAAAATCAGAAAAAAATGTCTCAACCCTCATGTGGTTCCTGATGACAACCTGGTTACCTGCCCGTTTGAACTATGGCTGGTCCTGGGCTTAGGGCCACAACGGAGCCCAAAATTACTGTGGCTAAAGGAGACGTTTGCTAAGTACGTTTTTTTTTTCCTTGTCTTTCTTTTTTTTAATAACAGAGTTGGAAGAGAGCTTGGAGGTCATCTAGTCCACCCCCCCGCTCTCTTTCTTTTTTCTTTCTTTCCTTCCTTCATTTCTTTTCTTTTTTTCTTTTTCTTTCTTTCCTTCCTTCCTTCCTTTTCTTCTTTCTTTCTTTCTTTCTTTCTTTCTTTCTTTCTTTCTTTCTTTCTTTCTTTCTTTCTTTCTTTCCTTCCTTTTCTGTTCTTTCTTTCTTTCTTTCTTTCTTTCTTTCCTTCCTTCCTCCATTTCTTTTCTCTTTATTTATTTATTTATTTATTTATGAGACTTATATACCGCTTTAGGTGCAAGCACTCTCTAAGCGGTGTACACCAGTAAGCAATGTATATATCTATTTACATTGCCCCCAACAATCTGGGTCCTCATTTTACCTACCCCGGAAGGATGGAAGGCTGAGTCAACCTTGAGCCGGTGAGATTTGAACCGCTGACCCGCTGAACACAGTCAGCTAAAGTGACCTGCAGTACTGCACTCTCACTGCTGCGCCACCTCGGCTCTTCTTTCTTCTCTTTCTTTCTTTCCTTCATTTCTTTTCTTTCTTTTTCTTTCTTTCTTCTTTCTTTTCTCTTTTCTTTCTTTCTTTCTTTCTTTCTTTCTTTCTTTCTTTCTTTCTTTCTTTCTTTCTCAAGCAGGAGACCCTTAGAGAATCACAGAGTTGGAAGGGACCTTGGAGGTCATCTAGTCCAACCCCCTGCTCAAGCAGGAGACCCTTACAGAATCGGAAGAAATCTTGGAGGTCATCTAGTCCATCCCCCTGCTCAAGCAGGAGACCCTTAGAGAATCACAGGGTTGGAAGGGACCTTAGAGGTCATCTAGTCCAACCCCCTGCTCAAGCAGGAGACCCTTACAGAATCACAAGAGTTGTTGGAAGGGACCCTGGAGGTCATCTAGTCCAACCCCCTGCTGAAGCAGGAGACCCTTAGAGAATCACAGAGTTTTAAAGGACCTTAGAGGTCATCTAGTCCAACCTCCATGCTCAAGCAGGAGACCCTTACAGAATCAGAGCTGGAAGAAACCTTAGAAGTCATCTAGTCCACCCCCCCTTTCTCCAACTTTTTTAAAAAAAATTCCAGTGTTGAAGCATTCACCGCTTCTGGAGGCAGGTGGTTCCACTGGTTAATTGTTCTAACTGTCAGAAAATTTCTCCTTAGTTCTGGGTTGCTTCTCTCCTTGGTTAGTTTCTATCCATTGCTTCTAGTTCTGCCTTCAGGGGCTTTGGAGAAGAGCTTGACTCCCTCTTCTTTGGGGCAGCCCCTGAGATATTGGAACGCGGCTATCCTGTCCCCCCTCGTCCTTCTCTTCATTAAACTAGACATACCCAATTCCAGCAACTGTTCCTTATATGTTTTGGCCTCCAGTCCCCTAATAATCTTTGTTGCTCTTCTCTGTACTCTTTCTAGAGTCTCAACATCTTTTTTACATCGCGGTGACCAAAACTGGATGCCGTATTCCAAGTGTGGCCTTACCCAGGCCTTGTAAAGTGGTATTAACACTTTATCTGATCTTGATTCTATCCCTCTGTTAATGCAGCCCAGCACTGTGTTGGCCTTTTTGGCAGCTGCAGCACATGGTTGCCTCCTATCTAAGTGATTGTCCACTAGGACTCCGAGATCCCTCTCACAATTGCTACTATTGAACCAGGTACCCCCTATCCTACATCTGTGCATTTGGTTTTTCTTGCCTAAATGTAGAGCCTTCTTTTTTTCACCACTAAATTCCATTTTCACCATCTTGCCAGGCAACTCCTATTTCGGTTTCCGGGTAGGACCCCGATTCTTATTTTTCCCTTCCAGAGGTCCCTTCTTGGCTCAAGCGAGCTCCTGCTGAATGTTGTGTTTCATACATACCTTGTACACAGGATCACAGTCGGGTCCGGTCAGCTCAAGAACGTGATCGAGGTCTTGTTGCATAATGAAACAAGTTCCATCACCTGCAAAGAGGGAAGCATTGAAACTCTGCACTGAATCTTTATAATTCTATTTGTTTTTATACTTGTAATTGTTTGGCTATTTGTTTCTGGTAAGCTCCCCAGAATCGCTTGGATAGCAAGATGGGTGGCATATAAATTTAAGAAAGAAAGGAAGGAAGGGAAGAAAGGAAGGAAGGAAGGAAGGAAGGAAGGAAGGAAGGAAGGAAGGAAGGAAGAAAAGAAAGAAAGAAAAAGAAAATTTCTGCTTATCTGAAGGATCATTCACAAGAAAGATACATTTCGGTCTGGAGAAGATGGATAGATTATATTCAGAATAAATATGGGACTAAAAAGTTCCACTTTAGTTTATGGGTAAATCTTAGAGTATTATTATTATTAATAGTTTATTATAGTAGAATTTTTATTAGTTTTATTATTATTTTTAGTATTAGTATTGTTTAACAATTTGGATATTGTATTGTTTGATAATTAGGATATTAACTTGTTTATATTATTATGTTTACTGGAGTTAAAGCGCATTATAGACTTGGTTATTTATATAGTTGGTTAATGTTAGTTAGAGTATGATTATTATATTTGTAACCCTGTACTCAGCTCTGGGAAGTGGGGGAGGGAGAGGGGTTTTTTTTTAGGGTGGGTGGGTTTTTGGGATGTATATTGTAACTTTTATAAAACTTTTCAATAAAAAAAAGAAAGAAAGAAACAGAGAAAAGAAAGAAAAGAAAAAAAGAGCAAGAAGGCAGGGATAGTTATGGGTCCCCGCTCTTGAGGAGATCCATTTGGTGGGACCAGGAAGAAGGGCCTTCTCCGTGGTGGCTCCCTCCCCGTGGAACATCATCCCTGAGGAGATAAGATTGGCCTCCATTTTGACACTCTTTCGAAAGGCCCTGAAGACCTGGTTCTGCCAGCGAGCCTGGGGACCCCAGAGGGACACGGAGCCCATCAAGGGGTTGGTGTGTGTTGTCACCAGGGAAGCTGGTGAGCTGGGTTTTGTAGTTGGGGTTACCACAAGTGGTAGCTGGTGGCTAAAACATATAAGGAACGGTTGCTGGAATTGGGTATGTCTAGTTTAATGAAGAGAAGGACGAGGGGGGACAGGATAGCAACCTTCCAGTATCTCAGGGGATGCCCCAAAGAAGAGGGAGTCAAGCTGTTCTCCAAAGCACCTGAGGGCAAAGACAAGAAGCAGTGGATGAGAACAATCAAGGAGAGAAGCAACCTGGAACTAAGGAGAAACTTCCTGACAGTTAGAACAATTAACCAGTGGAACCACCTGCCTCCAGAAGCGGCGAATGCTCCAGCACTGGAAGTTTTTAAGAAGAGGCTGGACAGCCATTTGTCCGAAATGGTGTAGGGTTTCCTGCCTGAGCAGGGGGTTGGACTAGATGACCTCCAAGGTCCCTTCCAACTTTATTATTATTACTGAGTTGAGCAGGCATTTGCCTTTCCTTACTAAAGAAATAAAAAATGCATCAATTACCTTGGCTGGCGATAAACCCGTCTTTATAAGGCATCAGGGAAAGGACTGGGGCTCCCGATCGCTGGATCACTCGAACGGGAGCTCTGAAAACGGACAAAGAATTCCCATATTGAAATGTCGATGGAGATTCCCAAGCCTTCCCGGTCATGCGAGTGAAGGGGAATAAAGTCCTCGCTTTACGACAGTTCATTTAGTGACCGAAGTTAAAACAGCACTGAAAAAAAAAATGACTTCAGGCCGTTTTTCACATTTATAACCTTTGCGGCATCCCCGTGGTGACAGGATCAAAATTCAGACCCTTGGCAACTGACTCATATTTATGACGGTCGCAGCGTCCCGGGGTCACGCGATCCCCTTTGGTGACCTTCTGGCAAGCAAACTCAGTAAGGGAAAAGCCAGCTTCACTTAAGAACTGTGTGACTCACTTAACAACCATAGCAAGAAAGGGCAAAAAGCGGGGCAAACTTCACGTCACACACGTCTCGCTTAGCAACGTAAATTTGGGACTCAATTGGGGTTATACGTTGAGGACTAGCAGCCTGTGGAAACATAGTTCACAGATGAAACTAACAGCCACATTAAGCTTCGGAAGGGGAGGGGGGGAATTGTTAAAAAGGACAGCCATTTGTCTGAAATACAAATATAAGGGTTTCCTGCCTGAGCAAGGGGTTGGACTAGATGATCTCCAAGGTCCTTTCCAGCTCTATTCTATTCTAAGAGACTGGACAGCCATTTGTCTGAAATGGTATAAGGGTTTCCTTCCTGAGCAGGGGACTAGATGACCTCCAAGGTCCCTTCCAACTTTATTCTAAGAGACTGGACAGCCATTTGTCTGAAATGGTATAGGGTTTCCTTCCTGAGCAGGGGGTTGGACTAGATGACCTCCAAGGTCCCTTCCAACTCTATTCTATTCTAACAGATTGGACAGCCATTTGTCTGAAATGGTACAAGGGTTTCCTGCCGGAGCAGGGGGTTGGACTAGATGACCTCCAAGGTACTTTCCAACTATTTTAAGAGACTGGATAGCCATTGGTCTGAAATGGTATAAGGGTTTCCTGCTTGAGCAGGGGGTTGGACTAGATGACCTTCAAGGTCCCTTCCAGCTCTATTCTATTCTAAGAGACTGGACAGCCATTGGTCTGAAATGGTTATAAGGGTTTCCTGCCGGAGCAGGAAAAAAAAATGGGGGAAAAAAAAGGAAACAGTTGGTGGGAATCTAAACTCACTTGGTGTTTCTCACATCCAGCTGGTATATGGTCCCATCCTGCGTCCCTCCCAGCAGATACGTGTTGGAGAGGAAGGTGCAGCAGTTGAAAGCATCCGAACCGATAAAAAGAAAAATCTAAGGAAGAAATCAGGGGGGGGAAAAAGTGGTCTGACATCTCATCTAAGCCACCTGCTACTAGCACTGATGATGTTACCTAGTTGGGTCATGAAACGTCTGCAAGAAAAGCACCCAGCTCAGAGAGCACCATGGACCCCATAGTCCTTTTCCCCCCTCCCCCTTCTCCTCTACAAACCCCTCTCCCTCCTAGCACTGATGATGTTTTCTAGTTTGGTAATGAAATGTCTGCAAGAAAGCAGAATAGAATAAAATAGAAATACAAAATAGAATGGAATGGAATGGAATAGAATAGAATAGAACAGTGATGGCGAACCTTTTAGAGATCAAGCACCCAAACTGCAACCCAAAACCCACTTATGCATCGCCGGGTGCCGGGTGGGTGTGGCCCATTGGCTGGGTGTGGGCGTGGCCCATTGGGTGGGCGTGGCTGCGGTGGTAACGGCAGACTGGGTGGGGCTAAAAAGTTTAATCAATCAATTCCAACTTTGCAAGATCTTTTTTTTCCCCGTGAGAAGTTGAAATTGACTGAACCTTTTTTTTTTTTTTTTTGCACACAGCGGCAGAGGCCTAAAGCGAAAAGGTTTTATAAAAGCCAGCTGAAGGCCTAGGACTGGGGCGACAGCACACGTGCCCACAGAGAGGGCTCTGAGTGCTGCCTCTGGCACCCGTGCCATAGGTTCGCCACCACTGGAATAGACATAGGAATGAATAGAATAGAATAGAACAGAACAGAAATAGAATAGAATAGAATAGAATAGAATAGAATAGAATAGAATAGAAATAGGAATAGGAATGAGAATAGAATAGAATAGAATAGAATAGAATAGAATAGAATAGAATAGAATAGAATAGAATAGAATAGACATAGGAATGAATAGAATAGACATAGGAATGAATAGAATAGAATAGAATACAATAGAATAGAATAGAATAGAATAGAATAGAATAGAATAGAATAGAATAGAACAGAACAGAACAGAATAGAACAGAATAGAATAGACATAGGAATGAATAGAATAGAATAGAGTAGACTAGACTAGAATAGAACAGAACAGAACAGAACAGAATAGAAATACAGAATAGAAACACAGAATGGAAATACAGAATGGAATAAGAATAGAATAGAATAGAATAGAATAGAATAGAATAGAATAGGGAATGAGAATAGAATAGAATAGAATAGAATAGAATAGAATAGAATAGAATAGAATTACAGGATGGAATAGAATAGAATAGAATAGAATAGAATAGAATAGAATAGAATAGAATAGAATAGAAAATATGGAATAGAATAGAATACAGTTAGAACAGAACAGAATAGAATAGACATAGGAATGAATAGAATAGAATAGAATGGAATGGAATAGAATAGAAATACAGAATAGAATAGAATAGAAATAGGAATGAATAGAACAGGACAGAAGAGAATAGAATATAGAATAGAAAGAACAGATAAATCAAAAGTGAAATCAGCTCATCTCACAAAGGCTGCTACATCCTAGCTTGGCAGATCGTATGCCAAACTCAACGTAGGAGCAAAATGGCCACCTTCCCTTCTTCTGAGATCATTTGCAATCCAGGGCTACCGAGATGAAGGGAGGACAACAGGCTGCTTTATCCCAAATGGAGGAGAAATCTTACCGGCTGCCTGCTTTGTAACCCCACGCCTTGCAATTTTTTGTCCTCCCGGGCCAACAGCAAGAGCTTCCCTTCCGTGCCAACTTCACGCTCACCTGCATTGGAAAGAGAGACCGTTCGGCCTAGAGCAGGTGTCCAACTTGTAGCCTCTTGCCTTAATCACTATATCCGAGGTCTCCGCACTTGGCAACTTTAAGGCTGGTGGACTTCAACTCCCAGAATTCCTCAGCCAGAATTGGGTACACCAGGGATCTCCTGGCAAATGTAAGACTTGTGGACTTCTACTTTAAGGCTTGTGGACTTCAACTCCCAGAATTCCCCAGCCAGGCGTTCCAAACCTGGCAACTTTAAGACCTGCGGACTTCAACTCCCAGAATTCCCCAGCCAGCCAGCATCGTCTTCTGGTTAAGGCACCAGGTTAAAAGCCAGGAAACTGGGAGTTAGTTTTGGGAGTTCTAGTTCTAGATCAGTGGTTCTCAACCTTTTTAATGCCGCGACCCCCAACCGGTCGTAAATCAAAGACTACTCCACCGGTCGTAAGTCGAGCACTACTCAACTGGTGCAGCACCGTTTGCAGAATGGGACTTTTGGCGGGCTCAGCAGGGCAGAGATAGCCTGGACAATTCCTATGGGCTTTTGAAAGCCAATAGAATTAGACTCTATTCAAGAGAGTCTATTCTATTGGCTTTCAAAAGCCGATAGAATAAAAGGGAGTAGCACAGCTAAGAAAAAGGGGGAAAAAAATGGCGGACTGCGTTGTTTGGCGACCTCCGTGAAATGGTCGTTCGACCCCAAATGGGGTCCCGACCCACAGGTTGAGAACCGCTGCTCTAAAAGAATGCAAATGACCAGTTTTTCTGCAAGGAGTATAAATCCTTCCACTCCCCACCATCCGGTCAGAACTGAAGAAGCTTCTTTGGATGAGAAGCGAAATGTCTTCAAAGAAAAAACAAGGAAGTCCACTTGCCTCCTTAAAAAAGCATCCAGCATGCTCAGGGACTGCAGTTCCCATCTGCCCGTGCTTCACCAGGCACCAGGTTAGAAGCCAGGCGACTGGGGGTTCCGAAAACAAGGCGTGGGCTTTCAGCACGACTCAAAGAGACGTAAAGAGCTTTGTGTCCTGTTTTTAGAAACAAAAACACATCTGGCTGCAATATAATCACTTACTCGGAAGTTCTTCGGGGGATCCCAAGTTTAACGAGTTGTCTGTTGCATTCAGAGCGATCCCATTGACTGGAGAGCCGCAATCGGCTATAACACCCAGGCAAGTCAACCGCCCGCAATCCCAAAGACGCGCTGTGCCGTCCCGTGAGCTGGAGACCACGTTCCTGCCCCTCTCCACAATGGCTGTGTCCAGGATTCCTGCAAGATCATAAAAGAGAAATATTTAGCAATTGGCCCAGCCACCTCAGTTGCCCTAGCGGCGCCAGACTGCTGCACACCTGACTGTCACGTGATGCGGCGGGTTTGACACCCGTGGACTAGACCAGGGGTAAGCAACCTTGGCTCTTTTATGACTCGTGGACTTCAACTCCCAGAATTCCTCAGCCAACATGGGGGAATTATGGCCCCTTCATGACTCGCGGACTTCAACTCCCAGAATTCCTCACCCAGCATGGCGGAATTATGGCCCCTTCATGACTCGTGGACTTCAACTCCCAGAATTCCTGAGCCAGCAGGCCGGAATTATGGCCCCTTCATGACTCGTGGACTTCAACTCCCAGAATTCCTCAGCCGGCATAGGGGAACTATGGCCCTTTTATGACTTGTGGACTTCAACTCCCAGAATTCCTCAGCCAGCATGGGGGAACTATGGCCCCTTCATGACTCGTGGACTTCAACTCCCAGAATTCCTCAGCCGGCATAGGGGAACTATGGCCCTTTTATGACTTGTGGACTTCAACTCCCAGAATTCCTCAGCCAGCATGGGGGAACTATGGCCCCTTCATGACTCGTGGACTTCAACTCCCAGAATTCCTGAGCCAGCATGGCTCAGCTTGGAAACTCTCCCTTTCCCCTCAGCATGGCTGGCTCAGGAATTCTGGGAGTTGAAGTCCACGAGTCATAAAAGAGCCAAGGTTGCCTATCCCTAATCTAGACAGTCACTTGTCTGAGATGATATAGGTCCTCCTGCTTGAGCAGGGGGCTGGTTTAGAAGATCTCTAAGGTCCCTTCCAACTCTGTTTAATGCTAAGAAGGACCAGGGGTGACATAATAGCAGTCTTCCAGTATCTCAGGAGCTGCCCCAAAGAAGAGGGAGTCAAGCTATTCCCCAAAGCGCCTAAAGGCAGGAGAAGAAGCAACGGATGGAAACTCATCAAGGAGAGAAGCAATCTAGAACTAAGGAGAAACTTCCTGACAGTTAGAACAATGAACCAGTGGAACTACCTGCCTCCAGAAGCTATGAATGCTCCAACACTGGAGGTTTTTAAGAAGAGACTGGACGGCCATTCATCTGAAATGGTCTAGGGCTCTCCTGCTTAAGCTGGGGGTTCGGCTAGATGACCTCCAAGGTCCCTTTCAACTCTGATGATGTTTCACGTTCTGCCTGTTACAAGACCAACCGACTGATCCACATGGGACAGCCGAGATGCAATCCTTCAAACTTCAGCCAGAAACGCAGCCGGCGTCATTCAAGGTAACACTGGGCTGACCCCCCCAACGCTCACTTCCCTGTACCTGCTTTGTGTCCTTGGAACGTTGCGACGCAGCTGCCGCTGTCTGCAGACCAGATCTTCAGCCCGGCATCCATCCCTCCACTCAGCACCACGATGCCCGACGGGAAAAATCGACAGCAATTCACATCGTATACGTGACCTTCCAAATTCCTCTGAAAAGACAGTGAATTGAGCAACTGATATCAACGGAAGGCACGCTTGCTAATTGGGACCGGAAGCTTTTGTTTGCTAAGCAAGGCGGTTGTTCAAACGATTCAGATCACGTAGCTGGCTGGGGAATTCTGGGAAATGAAGTCCACCCTTCTGAGGTTGAGAAACAATACTTACTCTAACTTCCCCGTTAGCGGCTTGCCAAATTTTCATCGTGCCGTCAGCGCTGGCGGATACTCCAAGCCCACCTCCGCTGGAAATGTCAAGACAGGTGATCTAAGATTAAGAGAGAACAAGAGAGGTGAACAATAAATAGGGCTCGGCCTCTTCTCCAAAGCACCTGAAGGCAGGACAAGAAGCAAAGGGTGGAAACTCATCAAGGAGAGAAGCAACCTGGAACTGAGGAGAAACTTCCTGACAGTGAGAACAATTTAACCAGTGGAACCACCTGCCTCCAGAAGCGGTAAATGCTCCAACACTGGAAGTTTTTAAGAAGAGACTGGACAGCCATTTGTCCGAAATGGTGTAGGGTTTCCTGCCCGAGCAGGGGGTTGGACTAGATGACCTCCAAGGTCCCTTCCAACTTTACTATTCTTCTTCTTCTCCTTCTTCTTCTTCTTCTTCTATTCTATTCTATTCTATTCTAATATTCTGTTCTGTTCCATTCCGTTCCATTCGATTCTATTATATTTTATTCCATTCCATATTCAATTCCATTCCATATTCCATTCCATTCCATTCCATTCCATATTTTCTATTCTATTCTATTCTATTCTATTCTATTCTATTCTATTCTATTCTATTCTATTCTATTCTATTCTATTCTATTATTCTATTCTATTCTATATTTCTATTCTATTCTATTCTATATTTCTATTCTATTCTATTCTATTCTATTCTATTCTATTCTCTATTCTGTTCTGTTCTATCCTATCGTACCCTATCATTGGAGATTTTTAAGAAGAGATTGGACAACTGCTTGTCTCAAATGGTATAGGGTCTCCTGCACGGGCAAGGGGTTAGACTAGAAGACCTCCAAGGTCCGTTCCAATGTTGCTATTCTGTTCATTTATTTTAACCTTAGAGCCAGGGTGTCCATCTCATCAATTTCATTGAAGGGCCACATCAGCATCGCGGTTGCCGTTGGGGGCGGGGTGGGTGGGTGAGGCCAGGGTGGGTGCAGTCTATTGGGTGGGCGTGGATGGAGTGGGTGTGGCCTACTGGGTGGGTGTGGCCAGCTCTACATCGTTCGCGTCAAGGGTGCCCGTGGGGGCCTGGGCAGGAGTGGGACAGATCTGGGGGTCTCTGGCAGAAGGGGGTGGGACCGGGGCAAGCGCCAAGGCATGGTCCATTTCTTCATTCCTCACAAAGGGGGACCCCTCCCCAGCATGCACCCAGGGGGCGGGGCCGACGCGGCAGGGGCCGGCTCCTCGCTGTTTCCGGACGGCCTTGTGGAGCTAAGACTGAATGTGTTGCAGCATAGATGGCCACCACAAAATTGTACATTGGCTCCTGGCTGGCCTGGGCCAGGGCCAAGGCAGCGGGGGCCGTTCCCTCACTGTTTCCAGGATGGCTTCACGGGCCACACGAAACCACTTCGCGGGCCGCATCCGGCCCCTGGGCCTTGGGTTTGATGTGTCTGCCTTCGAAGGAGAGATTGGAAAGTGTCACTCAGTCCTGGGAAAACAGGAAGCACGAGGAAGTGATGCAGAAGAGTCCTACCTTAACCTCATGGTCCTTCGAAAGAACCAACGAAGCTGTGGGAGATGCTTTCAAGATTCGGTTAATGCACCTTCTGTTGCTGGAAGTAGAGGTAGTCCCTGACATACGACCGTAATGAAGCCTGCCCATTACAGTCCTGGGTCACAATGCTTGGGAGACAGGTCAGTCATGTGACTGCAGGGGTCATTAAGCCAACGTCGCCGTAATTAAAGCAGAGCCATGGATTTGGTAAAAACCGTAAGGGTTTATATATAAACGATCTTGTGTTATTAAGTGGGTGATTTAATAGGGTGGGAGATAGAGAACTCTTAGGGAATAAGAACCAGATTGTATTCAAGTAGATCAAACGTGTCTTTTGGATATTATCGTTTGTTATGAAGCGAGATAAGGGGAATTTCGGCTACCCATAGTCTGAAAATTAAAAATATCAACGGTGAAATTGGAATAGGGATAGGAAATGAAAAAGTGAGTAAAAAAAAATCAATAACAGGATATGGATAGATCATGAAGATCAAATGCAATTAAGACGTGTATAAGCTAAAAATTGATCGATAATGTAATTGATGTTTTTATGGAGTTGATATCAGCAGAAATGTACCAACGTGAATACGAGACAGTAAATGTTCTGGGAAAAAGAGAAGAAATATTTGATGTGGTAACCTGAGATTTGCACTAAAGTAGTGGTTCTCAACCTTTTTAATGCCGCGACCCCCAACCGGTCGTAAGTCGAGGACTACTCAACCGGTCGTTAAGTCGAGGACTACTCAACTGGTACAGCACCGTTTGCAGAATGGGACTTTTGGCGGGCTCAGAAGGGCAGAGACAGCCTGGACAATTCCTATTGGCTTTTGGAAGCCAATAGAATTAGACTCTATTCAAGAGAGTCTATTCTATTGGCTTTCAAAAGCCAATAGAATAAAAGGGAGTAGCACAGCTAAGGAAAAGGGGGAAAAATGGCGGACTGCGTTGTTTGGCGACCCCCGTGAAATGGGTCGGTTTCTGACTGTAGGGAGAGAGTCTAGACCCTAAGGAAAAGGGGGAAAAATGGCGGACTGCGTTGTTTGGCGACCCCCGTGAAATGGTCGTTCGACCCCAAATGGGGTCCCGACCCACAGGTTGAGAACCACTGCACTAAAGATTCTGTCACTGGGCTATTGATTCACCCAGTCACCACATTGCTTTTTCAATATTCAAATGGAAAATTGGAAAATTAATTAAATATTATATTAAAAAAAAAACTATAAGGTGTGGTTTGTTTTTTTTAAAATCCCGCTTTTATTTCCTTGAATAGTCCTTCCAAAAAAGGCCGTAAAAGCATACGTACGCTTTTCTGATGGATCCTGCAGAAGGCAGTATAGGGTGCCAGAAATTTGCTAGAGGTGTTTTCCCGCGAGCAAGAAACGAGCAGACATTTCTGAAGCAGGTAGAAAAAAGGAAAATACAAAATACAAAAATAAAGATGGGCCAAAAACAGATTGTCTCAATGTTTGTTCGTTCATTCATTCATTCATCACAAAATCTAAAAACTTGAGAGGTCCAGCTGGACTTTTAACAAGCAGGCCCACAATAGTTTCATCAAAAAAGGCAAGAGGGTGTCATACTTAATTTATTATTGATTTAATCCCCGCCTTTTATCATTGTTATAAGTAACTTGAGGTAGTGAACATACCTCAGACGCCTTCCTCCTATTTTGCCCATAACGACAACCCTGCAAGGTGGGTTGGGCTGAGAGAAACTGATTGGTTGTGTCTGATTGGTCAATCCTAAGGCGGGACTAGAACTCAACGTCTCCTGGTGATTGGCCCAACGTCACCCAGCTGGCTTCCATGCCTATGGTGGGACTAGAACTCACCGTCTCCTAGTGATTGGCCCAAAGTCACCCAGCTGGCTTCCATGCCTATGACGGGACTAGAACTCACCGTCTGCTGGTCATTGGCCCAAAGTCACCCAGCTGGCTTTCATATCCAAAGCAGAACTAGAACTCACCGTCTCCTGGGCTCTAACCTGGTGCTTTAACCACTAGATCAAACTTAACCTCCTCTCCCATTTCTTACATTATTTTACCTCAGGTTATCTCAACAGGTCTCAAAGCACACGGCGGATTTTTAGCATAGTAGAATAATAAGTGGCGGATATCTCTCCAATGTGTCTCAGATATACCGTATACGCCGGCGTATAAGGTGACTTCCGCAAGCGTTAAAATCGGCGCCAAAGACGGGGGTCGTCTTATACGAGGCGGCGCAGCAGTTAGAGTGCAGTACTGCAGGCCACTTTAGCTGACTGTGTTCAGCAGGTCAGCGGTTCAAATCTCACCGGCTCAAGGTTGACTCAGCCTTCCATCCTTCCGGCGTAGGTAAAATGAGGACCCAGATTGTTGGGGACAATGTAAATATATATATATACATTGCTTACTGGTGTACACCGCTTAGAGAGTGCTTGCACTTAAAGCGGTATATAAGTCTCATAAATAAATAAAAATAAATACGCCGGCATATACAGTAAGTTGTACCTGCACAGCCAACCTGTCCTCCCCTCCCACTTCCCTCCTCCCAGATTTAAATCCTCCATCACTCTAACCCAGTATTTATTTCTCAACCATGGGGACTTTTTTTTTTTTTTTTACAAAACAAAACAAAACACAACAAACATTACACACGTACAATATCCTTTTTTGTTAACAGCAGTTTGTAACTGTACTTTTCTATTCTTTACATTTCCCCCCCTTTCTTCTTTGAAATATTTGTCCTTATTGCCCCATTGTTCCTTATTTACATTTTCCTTCTTTCATATTCTACTACTTACTAGGAATCCAACATTATTCATTGTAGTAACACTCATATTTTTTTATAAGACGCGACCGGAATTCCATCTAAGCATGGTGATTATACAAATATTCTCATATTATTTAGTGCAGTGGTTCTCAACCTTTTTAATGCCGCGACCCCCAACTGGTCGTAAGTTGAGGACTACTCAACCGGTCGTAAGTTGAGGACTACTCAACTGGTGCAGCACCGTTTGCAGAATGGGACTTTTGGCGGGCTCAGCAGGGCAGAGACAGCCTGGACAATTCCTATTGGCTTTTGAAAGCCAATAGAATTAGACTCTATTCAAAAGAGTCTCTTCTATTGGCTTTCAAAAGCCAATAGAATAAAAGGGAGTAGCACAGCTAAGGAAAAGGGGGGAAAAAATGGCGGACGGCGTTGTTTGGCGAACCCCGTGAAATGGTCGTTCGACCCCAAATGGGGTCCCGACCCACAGGTTGAGAACCACTGATTTAGTGCATATACTGTTTTTACTCTAATACTATTTCCAACGTTAAAATTCACCCCTTTTCATCCAAGTATATTTATTTAATTTTATTTTTCTTTGACATATATAATAATTCCTCCTTTCTTATTTTATGCTAATATTGGGTATCATGTTTCTACATTTCACTTTCTCTAGTAATTTTCTATAATCCTGTTTTATGGATTATAGCCATGGGGACTTTTAAGCTGTGTGGACTTCAGCTCCCAGAATTCCTCAGCCAGCTGTGCTGGCTGGGGAATTCTGGGAGTTGAAGTCCAGTTAGTTTAAAGTCGCCAAGGTGGAAAACTACATGGCTGTGCAGGGAATGACATGACCTGTGCTTCACAAATGCGCCTGCCTTTCCACGGAATGTGATTTTTTTGGGAAAAAATGTCACCAGGCTCGGATTTTAGGCCATACCTTAGTTACTGCATTGACTTCAAATCCTTCGGAGGCTACAATTTCTGGAATCCCGTCTGGGCTCAAACCGTGGCAGGTCAGAGTCCCATATAAAGTTGGTTTCCCTAAAGGAGAAGAAGAAGTGGTATTGTCTGGAACGGAATAGAACAGTGGTGGCGAACCTAGGGCACGGGTGCCAGAGGCGGCCCTGGGAACCCTCACTGTGGGCACACGTGCCGTGGCCCCAGCCTTGCCTCCCCCCACGACCCTCTCCTTTCCAGCAGCCTCCCTGGAGGAGTCGCCCCCCCAAGCATGGCCCACGCGGAGCAGCGCAGCCAAGGACATGGCAGTCAGGCAGCGTGGACAAGACTCTGCCCTCACACCCCATCCTGCACAGTTGATGCTGCAGGGCGCGGGCAGAGGGCGTGGCCGCCATAGCGCTGCTGGGCTGCCTGGGCGATCTGCGGTGGGCCCTGGAGGCAGTGAGTGGTCCTGTGGGCAGGCGGGGTGGGGGAATGGGGGGCAGAGCAGGGTGGGGCAGGGGGGTGGAGCGGGGTCAGGGCCAGTTTTTGGGCACTTGGTTTCTAAAAGGTTCCATGGAATGGAATGGCATAGAATAGAAATAAGAATTATAAAAATAGAATAGAATAGAATAGAATAGAATAGAATAGAATAGAATAGAATAGAATAGAATAGAGCCGAGGTGGCGCAGCAGTCAGAGTGCAGTACTGCAGGCCACTTTAGCTGACTGTGTTCAGCAGGTCAGCGGTTCAAATCTCACCGGCTCAAGGTTGACTCAGCCTTCCATCCTTCCGGGGTATGTAAAATGAGGACCCAGATTGTTGGGGGCAATGTAAATATATATATACATTGCTTACTGGTGTACACCGCTTAGAGAGTGCTTGCACTTAAAGCGGTCTATAAGTCTCATAAATAAATAAATAAATAAATAAATAGAATAGAAATACAGAATAGAACAGAACAGAGGAGAGGAGAATAAGAAATAATAGAATAGTTATAGGGAATAGGGAATAGAGAATGTAATGTAATGTAATGTAATGTAATGGAATGGAATAGAATAGAATAGAATAGAAATACAGAATAGAACAGAGGAGAGGATAGGAGAGGAGAATAAGAAATAATCGAATAGGGAATAGGGAATGGAATGGAATAGAATAGAATAGAAATACAGAATAGAATAGAAATACAGAATAGAACAGAAGAGAGGAGAAGAGAATAAGAAATAATAGAAGAGTATAGGGTATAGGGAATGGAATGGAATGGAATAGAATAGAATATAGATTATAGATGCAGAATGGTGTTGGTTATTACCTTTAAAGCCCTATGTGGCTCAGGGCCAGGCTATTTGCGAGACCGCCTACTACCTCATAGTTCCCTTCGTCCGGTTAGATCCCACAGGCTGGGTCTCCTTCGGGTCCCGTCGGCCAAGCAGTGCCATTTGGCGGGGCCGCGGAGGAAGGCTTTCTCTGTGATGGCGCCCACATCTTGGAACCAGCTCCCCCCGGAGATTAGGACCACTCCCACCCCATAAGCTGCTTAAGACCTGGCTTTTCCAGCAGGCCTGGGGTTTATAAAACCTGACCCCTGGATGACTGTTATTGTACTGTTTGTTTTGTCATGTTTTATGTTGTTTTTTTATTGTTAGCCGCCCAGAGTCCTGCGGGAGTGGGGCGGTTTATACATTTTAATAAATAAATAAATAAAAATAAATCACAGAATTTATCTATGTCCTCAGGGTCACCTGAGTGGTGCAAATGGGCGTGGAGCCTTCTTGGAACTGCTTTCAGCACACCCAGTTGCACCACTCAGGTGACCCCGAGGACACAGGTAAACCTCCAGGTGGCCTCAAACGACCCTGAAGGCAAATGACCGGCAAGGAGGATAAATCCTTCCCTTCCCCACCATCCAATCAAAGGTGAAGAAGTTTCCGGGATGAGAAGTGACACATCTTCCAAGAAAAAACAAAGTCCAGTGGCCTCCTGAAAAAACATCCTTTGGGTGAACCATGACCTGGAATGACGGAGAATCTCCACAGACCAGTGTTTCTCAACCTTGACCATTTTAAGGCATGTGGACTTCAACTCCCAGAATTCCACAGCCAGCATTGCTGGCTGTGGAATTCTGGGAGTTGAAGTCCACATGCCTTAAAATGGTCAAGGTTGAGAAACACTGCCATAGACATTTAAGATGGAGGAAAAGAAAGAACTGGATCCCCTTGACAGAATCCTTCGACAACAGTAGGAGAAGCAGGTTTTTCTTACTCACCTGGGCTCCGGCAGCTCAGCCAAACCTCCTCCTCATTTCTCCTAGAAAAATGGGGGGTTGGGGGGGAGGGAAATAATCCATTAGCCCAGAATCACGTGACTGCGAGATGAGATATATATACATTTAATAAATAAAAGCAATAATTCAAAGGACTATTGCATCCAGAGGGCCAAGGGCTTTCCTACTTGTAAAGTAAACGGGGTTTAGGGCGGTGTTTCTCAAACTTGGCAACTTTTAAGATGGGTGGACTGCAAGTCCCAGAATTCCCCAGCCAGGGGAAAGGCTAGAGAGCCCTATATGGCTGGCTGAGGAATTCTGGGATTTGAAGTCCACAAGTCATAAAAGAGTCAAGGTTCCTCACCCGTGGCCTAGGCTATCAATTAAATCAGGGGTCTTCGAACTTGGCCCTTTTAGGACTTGTGGACTTCAACTCCCAGAATTCCTGGGCCAGCATGAGGGAACTATGGCCCCTTTATGACTGGTGGACTTCAACTCCCAGAATTCCTCAGCCACCATGGGGGAACTATGGCCCCTTCATGACTTGTGGACTTCAACTCCCAGAATTCCTCAGCCAGCATGAGGGAAACTATGGCCCCTTCATGACTCGTGGACTTCAACTCCCAGAATTCCTCAGCCAGCATGGGGGGAACGATGGCCTCTTCATAACTCATGGGCTTCAACTCCCAGAATTCCTGAGCCAGCATGAGGAAACTATGGCCCCTTCATCATTAATGGACTTCAACTCCCAGAATTCCTGAGCCAGCATGGGGGAATTATGGCCCCCTCATGACTGGTGGACTTCAACTCCCAGAATTCCTCAGCCAGCATGGGGGAACTATGGCCCCTTCATGACTGATGGACTCCAACTCCCAGAATTCCTCAGGCAATGTGCCTGGCTGAGGAATTCTGGGAGTTGAAGTCCACAAGTCCTAAAAGGGCCAAGTTCGAAGACCCCTGGGCTAAATTTAGGAATTAGAAGGAAAAAAACCCCACACCCTTATTTGTTAATGACACCAGTTGGAATCCGGCAGATTGGAAGGGAGGGAGCAACCAAGAAAGGGCAAAAAGCTACTCCTGGTGGTGACATTTCCATGCAGAATTCAAGACACCTCAGAGTCTAGTTTGAAAAAACTGGGTAATACATGAATATTTTTTATTTACCGGTCCTATGTCTAAACCACCCGTCTCCCTCAAAGAGGAATATCGTTAATATGATTAATGATTAGGATTGTGGAACTGGACCTCATTGACTCCTGGGGCTTCCCAAAACCTTAGCAATTTAATGGGACATTTTTTTGAGGGGGGAAGAATCCAAATATTCGTTGCCTAGCAACTGGAAGCTGGATCTCCCTTCTGGAAGATTCCTAGTGGATCCCCAAAGGCTACCAATCAACGGGCAGAGGAGCAGAAGGGGGAGCCCCACAGGTGAAGCATGGGCAGTGTGATCCCTGAGCATGCTGGATGGAAGCTGGATCCCCTTCTGGAAGATTCCTAGTGGATCCCCAAAGGCTACCAATCAACGGGCAGAGGAGCAGAAGGGGGGAGCCCCACAGGTGAAGTATGGGCAGTGTGATCCCTGAGCATGCTGGATGGAAGCTGGATCCCCTTCTGGAAGATTCCTAGTGGATCCCCAAAGGCTACCAATCAACGGGCAGAGGAGCAGAAGGGGGGAGCCTCACAGGTGAAGCATGGGTGGTGTAGTCCCTGAGCATGCTGGATAGAAGCTGGATCCCCTTCTGGAAGATTCCTAGTGGATCCCCAAAGGCTACCAATCAACGGGCAGAGGAGCAGAAGGGGGAAGCCCCACAGGTGAAGCATGGGTGGTGTAGTCCCTGAGCATGCTGGATGGAAGCTGGATCCCCTTCTGGAAGATTCCTAGTGGATCCCCAAAGGCTACCAATCAACGGGCAGAGGAGCAGAAGGGGGGAGGCCCAGAGGTGAAGCATGGGTGGTGTAGTCCCTAAGCATGCTGGACAGGCACAATGCCTTCTCTGCCTTGGACTCCCGCACCCAGAAGGCTGAGTCTACATTGACCCCCCAAGACGCCCCCCCATGGGCTCCAAAGTTTGTCTTTGGGAGCTTCCCCCCACCAGACTCTGCCCCGATTTTTCCTTCAGGGATCTCCGGGTGGTCTCCCTCCCCCGCCAGGCACGCCGGCCAAGGCCGAGGGGCGCGGCCTGCGTCGGGGTGGGCGTGGCTTCCCCCACCTCAAGACCTGGTCCCAGTCGCTCTGGATCCGCAGCACCGGCGCCTGCGCCATCTTCGCAGCGCCCTCGGCCCCGCCCCGGAAGCCGCCGCCCGGGACCCGCCCCCCGGAAGGCCCGGGCGCCGCCCACCACGGAAGCAGCTTGGCGGGCGGCGAGGCGGAGGCGGCGGTTGGAGGCGCTCGCGGAGGTGGGCGGGGCTACGGGCGTGGGGTGGGGGGGCAACGGCCCGGCTTGGCCTACCTGGCAGGGCTGGTGGTGGGCACTCCTACCCTGCGGGGTAGGCTTGTTCAGGGTGGTTTGGTGGGGGGAGCGAGCGCTTCCTTCTCGATGTTTTATTGGCCGAAGAGGTAAAAATGAAGTAGTTGGGGGATCTAAGGCAGCAACGGGCGGCTCCTTTGGGACGGGTGGACTTCAACTCCCAGCATTCCTGCTTCCTCCATTGACTTTGCTGGTTGGAAGCCATGCTGGCCGAGGGATTCTGGGAGTTGTAGTGCACAGCTGATAAAGGGGGCCATAGGTGCTGGCTCAGGGATTCTGGGAGTTGTAGTACACAGGTTGCAAAGGGGCCATAGTTAGATCAGGAATTCTGGGAGTTGAAGTCCACAGCTGGTAAAGGGGCCATAGGTGCTGGCTCAGGAATTCTGGGAGTTGTAGTCCACAGGTTGCAAAGGAGCCATAATTAGATCAGGAATTCTGGGTGTTGTAGTTCACAGGTCGCAAAGGAGCCATACTTGGCTCAGGAATTCTGGGTGTTGTAGTCCACAGGTCACAAAGGAACCATAGTTGGCTCAGGAATTCTGGGTGTTGTAGTCCACAGGTCGCAAAGGATCCATAGTTGGCTCAGGAATTCTGGGTGTTGTAGGCCACAAGTCGCAAAGGAGCCATAGTTGGCTCAGGAATTCTGAGAGTTGAAGTCCACAATTGGTAAAGGGGCCATAGTTGCCCATCTCTGATCAAAGGGGAAGCCAGAGGTTTATTTGGCCCCATTTTAAAAGGGGGGGGGCATTAGCAAGGTTCAATGCAGGTAGGAAAGCTATTATTACATCCGTTAGATACAGATACTTGTATATGTGGATAAATATCTAGATACAGATACATCTTTTTTTACATAGTGGTGACCAAAACTGGATGCAGGATTCCAAGTGTGGCCTTACCAAGGCCTTGTAAAGTGGTATTAACCCTTCACGTGATCTTGATTCTATCCCTCTGTTAATGCAGCCCAGCACTGTGTTGGCCTTTTTGGCAGCTGCAGCACACGGCTGGCTCCTATTTAAGTGATTGTCCACTAGACTCTGAGGTCCCTCTCACAGTTACTACTGTTGAGCAAGGTACCCCCTATACTATAGCTGTACATTTGGTTTTTCTTGCCTAAATGTAGAACCTTGCTTTTTTCACCCTTGAATTTCATTTTGTTAGATAGCTTCTAACTGATAGTTACTGATAGTTTCTCGGCAACCGTCTCCCTGACAAAGGGAGACACATTCCTTTCTCAATAGACAAGAGGCAGGAGGAAAAAGCAGAAAGCGAAAGTCACCCCAAGTGTATGCAAGCACCCCCCCTCCCCAGCAGAATGGCAGACCCCTCCAAAAGTAGAATATATGTGCAGGGAAAATGATGAGGGTGGGTTTGGGGAACTGACCCTTGAGGGCTACCAGCAATTGAATTAAAACAGTGGGTCTCAACCTTTTTAATGCCGCGACCCCCCAACCGGTCGTAAGTCGAGGACTACTCAACCGGTCGTAGGTCGAGGACCTACGAGGCTGCATTAACAGAGGGATAGAATCAAGATCACGTGAAGTATTAATACCACTCTTCAATGCCTTGGTAAGGCCACACTTGGAATACTGCATCCAGTTTTGGTCACCACGATGTAAAAAAGATGTTGAGACTCTAGAAAGAGTACAGAGAAGAGCAACAAAGATGATTAGGGGACTGGAGGCTAAAACATATAAGGAACGGTTGCGAGAATTGGGTATGTCTAGTTTAACGAAGAGAAGGACAAGGGGGGACATGATAGCAGTATTCCAATATCTCAGGGGCTGCCATAAAGAAGAGGGAATTAAGCTATTTTCCAAAGCACCTGAAGGCAGGACAAGAAGCAACGGGTGGAAACTAATCAAGGAGAGAAGCAACCTAGAACTAAGGAGAAACTTCCTGACAGTGAGAACAATTAATCAGTGGAACAGCTTGCCTCCAGAAGCAGTAAATGCTCCAACACTGGAAGTTTTTAAGAAGAGACTGGACAGCCATTTGTCCGAAATGGTGTAGGGTTTCCTGCCCGAGCAGGGGGTTGGACTAGATGACCTCCAAGGTCCCTTCCAACTTTATTACTATTACTATTACTACTCAACTGGTGCAGCACCGTTTGCAGAATGGGACTTTTGGCAGGCTCAGCAGGGCAGAGACAGCCTGGACAATTCCTATTGGCTTTTGAAAGCCAATAGAATTAGACTCTATTCAAGAGAGTCTATTCTATTGGCTTTCAAAAGCCAATAGAATAAAAGGGAGTAGCACAGCTAAGGAAAAGGGGGAAAAAATGGCGGACTGCGTTGTTTGGCGATCCCCGTGAAATGGTCGTTCGACCCCCAAATGGGGTCCCGACCTACAGGTTGAGAACCACTGAATTAAAAGAACTGTTCAAAGTTAAAAGTAAACTTTAAAAAGTTAAAGAACTGCTGCGTTGGGGGGGGGGGTGATAACCTCACTTGGCTTGAGTAGCTTCACACTCGTGTAACTACTACAAGGATTTCTTTTTTTAAGCAACGGCTGTGGGGGGGGGTCTCCTTTCCCCAGATCTGCCAGGATGTCTGGCCACAGCTGGAGCCAGAAGACCAAAGCAAAGAAGGAGGAAGAGGAGGAGGAGGAGGAAGAGGTGGACCCTTTTGACCAGATGATCCAGCGCACCGGTTGCGCCGCTTTCCACTACACCGTGATGGAGTGCATGGTGGAGCACCAGGACTGGCGCAAGTGCCAGGAGCCGGTGCAGCGTTTTCGGACCTGCATGGCGGAACACCAGAAGCGGCGAGCGGAAGAGATGCGGGAGAGGCAGGAGCGGCACCAGGCTGCCAGCTGACCAAAGGGAAGTCCAGTCAGACCAACTAGACTCTCAAGGCAACAGAAGAACCCAGGCCCGGCACAGCTGGCGCTGGACGGAGCCGTCGCAGATTCGGAAATTTGGAAAGAGCTCGTTTTTTTTTTTTTTTTGTAGGCATCGTTGTGTACACTGTTAATACAAAAACGGCATGGAATTCTTTTATTACTTATTTTGCTTTCAATAGGAAATCGTGATGTTTCTCCCCCGTTCGTTGTTTGAGGCATCGGCAATGTTTTCCCAATCTGGTGCGGTTCCTAGGATTTCATCGCTGAGAATTCTGGGAGTTGATCTAGGAATCGTCCCGTAAAGGAGAATGTTTATAGCTCAGGGTTGAAATGAGTGCTCCAGGTTGCTCCCGGATGGCTGTTTCGTTGCAGATGTTTCGTTGGCCCGAACGAGGTGACTGATGATGTTACCTAGTGGGGTATTGAAACGTCCACAAGAAAACAACCCAGCTCAGAGATCTCTCGGAAATTGTCCAGATTGAGAAAAACAGCAAGAAGGGAATGTGTTTTCCAGTCTGATATCCTCCAGAAGAGTGCAATTTCTAAATAATAAGGGTGGGATACGAGGGAGGGAGGGAAGGAAGGAGAATAGGAAGGAGGGAGGGAAGGAAGGAAGGAAGAATGGGAGGGAGGGAAGGAAGGAAAGAGAATGGGAAGGAAGGAATGGGAGGGAGGGAAGGAAGGAAAGAATGGGAAGGAAGGAGAATGGGAGGGAGGGAAGGAAGGAAAGAATGGGAAGGAAGGAAGGAAGAATGGGAGGGAGGGAAGGAAGGAAAGAGAATGGGAAGGAAGAATGGAAGGAAGGAAGGAGAATGGGAGGGAGGGAAGGAAGGAAAAATGGGAGGAAGGAAGGTAGCTTGGGCTAGTTGAGAGTTCAGTTAACATAGTATGTTAAGCCAAATAGGTTTGGTTTCTGGTGTTATATTTATTCCTGGTTAGAGTATGGTTGAGCAGAATGCGTGTGCACTCCACGTGTGGCTGGATTCACACTACATGCTAAGTCCCAAATCAAACCAACCCTAGTTATTTAGCCCAGTGAGTGGTGCCCTATGTCAGTTACAGTTCAGCAACAGCTACAGGAGCAGAGCCTGATGGGCAAACTCAACCTGCCAATTTTAGTTCAGAGTTCCCTGATAATGAGATTCCGGGGGGGGGGGGCGGGGCGGGGGGGGCATATATAAACTTGATAACTAAATAAAGCCACATCTGGTGGAAGGAAGCCAGATTGGGATTGCCTTGAAAATTTCCTCCTTTGCCTGCCACCCACCCCCACCCCCCGTTGGCAATACAAATTCACAGAACAGCAGTGTTCCTCAAATGTGGCAACTTTTTAAGACGTGTGGACATCAGCTTCCAGAATTCTGGAAGTTAACAGGCTGGGCAATTCTGGGAGTTGAAGCTCATACGTACATCTTAATAGTTAACAAGTTTGAGAAATACTATAGTAAAGGAAAATGTGGAAAAGCTGTGTTACTGAAATGCTGGAAGTCCAGAACTGACTGCTGTTCTGTATTAAGGTGCTGCTGCTTCTTGGGGGTGAAAAAAAACAAGAGCCAAGCATTGATCTTTTCCACTTTTTTGGGGGGGGGGACAGGTATTTAACAGAATAATAGATTTGGAGGCGACCTTAGAGGTCAAGTCCAACCCCCTGCTCAGGCAGGAAATCCTATACCATTTCGGACAAATGGCTGTCCAGTCTCTTCTTAAAAACTTCCAGTGTTGGAGCATTCACCGCTTCTGGAGGCAGGTGGTTCCACTGGTTAATTATTCTCATTGTCAGGAACTTTCTCCTTAGTTCCAGTTGCTTCTCTCTTTGATGAGTTTCCATCTGTTGCTTCTTGTCCTGCTTTCAGGTGCTTTGGAGAATAGCTTGACTGCCTCTTCTTTGGGGCAGCCCCTGAGATATTGGAACCCGGCTATGTCCCCCCCTCCCCGTCCTTCTCTTCATTAAACTAGACATACCCAATTCCAGCAACAGTTCTTTATTATCTTTTAGCCTCCAATCATCTTTGTTGCTCTTCTCCGCACTCTTTCTAGAGTCTCAACATCTTTTTTACATCGTGGTGACCAAAACTGGATGCAGTACTCCAAGTGTGGCCTCACCAAGGCCTTGTCAGGTGGTATTAACACTTCATCTGATCTTGATTCTATCCCTCTGTTGATGCAGCCCAGCACTGTGTTGGCCTTTTTGGCAGCTGCAGCACACGTCTGGCTCCTATTTAAGTGGTTGTCCACTAGGACTCCGAGATCCCTCTCACAGTTGCTACTAAAGATAGAACCAAGCATGTTTATGCTCTCTTTCTCCCCCTCCCACCCTCCAGTTTTTGTCATTCCTGAGTTATTTTAGTCTTTTTCCTGTCAAAAGAGAGGCAAAACCTTGTCACACACATTTCCCAGTTGTAAAGAGGCTTTGGGGGAATCATCTGGCAAGCAAGAAGGCAGCAGTGCCGCTTCTAAATTCAGACTTAAGTGCTTCACTTTGTGGAACCTTTGAGGTGGATTTACCTGGTAAGGATCTGGACCTTTTGCAGAACAAAACACAGGGGAGGGGCAGCTATCCCCTCTTTACAACCCGGGTGACTTCAACTCCCAGAATTCCTGAGTCAGCATGGCTGGCACAGGAATTCTGGCCGTTGGGAGTCCAGCGATTACTTCCTGGGCTAGAGAATTTCACAGATCACCATCTTGCTTCAGAAACGGAGCTGTGCGCGTCTGCGCAGGGGCTTGCCGACCGCTTGCATGGAAATATACCCTCTCCTCCCGCCCCCACCGGTCCACAGCGCCGGAAACGTTGGGGAGCTCTGCTTTACAGCCCTCTCTCTGAGTGGTTTACAAAGTCAGCATATTTGCCCCCCAACAAGCTGGATCCTCATTTTACCAACCTCGGAAGGACAGAAGGCTGAGTCAACCTTGAGCTGGGATCGAACTGCTGGCTGTGGGCAGAGTTAGGCTGCAATTACTGCATTCTAACCACTGGGAGGGAGGGAGGGAGGGAAGGAAGAGAAAGAAAGAAAAAGAAAGGGAGGGAGGGAGGGAGGAAAGGAATAGCTATCGCACATAGACTTATGTACGACTTCATGGTGCTTTATAGCCCTCTCTAAGCAGTTTACAGCCTGTTGCCCCCCAACAAGCTGGGTCCTCACTTTACCGACCTTGGAAAGATGGGACAGCTGAGTCAGCCTAGATTGAACTTACCACTTACTACTGGCAGTCGGCAGAATTAGTCTGCAATACTGCATTATATGTAAAGTCCAGGCCATGGTTTTCCCAGTTGCAATGTACGGCTGTGAAAGTTGGACCCTAAGAAAGGCTGAGCGCCAAAGAATGGAGGCCTTTGAACTCTGGTGCTGGAGAAGACTCCTGCGAGTCCCCTGGACTACAAGGTGATCCAACCGGTCAGTCCTAGAGGAGATCAATCCCAACTGCTCTTGAGAAGGCCAGATCCTGAAGTGGAAACTCAAGGACTTTGGCCACCTAATGAGAAGGAAGGACTCCCTGGAGAAGAGCCTGATGCTGGGAAAGATGGAGGGCAAGAGAAGAAGGGGACGACAGAGAAGGAGGGGACTGGAGGGAGTCCCTGAAGCAGGAGGCGTGAGCTTAAGTGGACTCCAGAAGATGGTAGAGAACAGGAAGGCCTGGAGGAACGTGGTCCATGGGGTCGCGATAGGTCGGACACGACTTCGCAATTAACAACAACAACTGCATTATAACCACTGCACCACCATGGCGCTAATTAACACTTATCGTTCCAGCTGCCGTTTGAACACCTGGTGGTCTCACCTGTGTCTCCACCCTAACTGTAAAGATTAGAGTTGGCTGAAGATGGTTGAGTTCAAGAACACTCATTCCACTGCAGCTGCAGAACCTGTTTAATGTTCCCAGTTACGTAGAAGCTGGGGTTTCTCAGCCGGGGCAAGTTGAAGACGGGTGGACTCTTAACTCCCAGAATTCCCCAGCCAGCCATGCTGGCTGGGGAATTCTGGGAGTTGAAGTCCACCCCGTCCTGGCTGAAGAACTGTGGGAGCTGAAGCCCACCCGTGCTGGCTGAGGAAGTCCGGAAGGATGGCTTCGACCGATGGAAAGCATAATCGGCTATCGGCCCGTCTCACTGCAGTTTAGCCCGAAGCTCATCCAGTTCAGTGCGGACCTTCAATCGGATCCTGAAGTCTTCCTCCGTGTGCTGAAAGGAAGGCACAAACTGAATGTTAGGATCTCAGACCCGTGCACAATTGGGGTGGCTTCAGAAAGTCGCAAAGCCTTTGTACCTGCCAAGGTGTAGATCACCTGAGTCAGCGGTTTCCAACCTCTACAGCCCGGCTGCGGGGAAGAGAGGGATATTGGGCAATGCAGGCAATGGGCCTCTGCAGGAGTGGCGCACACGTGCACAACTCAACGTGCATAAGCGGGTCGGGCACACACGAGGGCCTGCCGGCCTGCCACTCAGGCATGTTGAGCTGGGCACGCATGCAGGCACACTCCGGCCAGCCGCTTGCGTGGTCCAGTTCTGAATAGGCCACGGCCCGGGATGAGGGGTGGAAGTCCTGATCTAAGCGATATAAAATTTATCAGAGACCGAGGCTGGATTTGTGCATTAAACTTGGCTTAAAAAAACGGAACGTTCTTACAAATCGAGCTTTTAACTTGGTTGGTGTCAGGGTCGATCGGAATGTGATCCAGAGGATTCTAGGGCTGTTTGAGAAATTGATGGCGTTCCATGAGAGATTTGTTTATACACAGCCGGTTTTATATCGGGCTTTCAAGCACTGGTGATGTAGCCTAGTTGGGTCATGAAATGTCTGCAAGAAAGCAACCCAGCTCAAAGGACCTCCACTGTGTCTCCTCCTCTTACTCCTCCTCCTCTCCACAAACCCCATTCCCTTCTAGCACCTGATGATGTTACCTAGTTGGGTCATGAAACGTCTGCAAGAAAGCCACCCAGCTCAGAGAGCATCAAGGACCCCACAGTCTTTCTTTCTTTCCTTCCTTCCTTCCTTCCTTCCTTCCTTCCTTCCTTCCTTCCTTCCTTCCTTCCTTCCTTCCTTCCTTCCTTCCCTTCCTTCCTTCCTTCCTTCCTTCTTCTCCTCCTCCCTTCTAGCTCTGATGAGGTTCCCTAGTTGGGTCATGAAACGTCTGCAAGAAAACCACCCAACTCAGAGCACCAAGGACTCCACAGTCCTTTTTCCTCCTCCTCCTCCTCCTCCTCCTCCTCCTCCTCCTCCTCTTCCTCCTCCTCCTCCTCCTCCTCCTCCTCCTCCTCCTCCTCCTCCTCCTCCTCTCCACAAACCCCACTCCCTTCTAGCACTGATGATGTTACCTAGTTGGGTAATGAAACGTCTGCAAGAAAGCAAGGCTATTGGTAGGGCAATATTGGAAGAAGGATTGTTTGCCAACTATAGAAGAATGGATGCTTAAAGTGTCAAATTTAGCAGAAATGGCTAAGATTTCTGCTTATTTGAAGGATCATTCACAAGAAAGATACATTTCGGTTTGGAGAAGATGGATAGACTATATTCAGAATAAATATGGGACTAAAAAGTTCCATTTATTTTATGAATAAATTTTAGAATATTATTATTGTTATTATTATTATTATTAATAGTTTAGTATAGTGGAATTTTTATTATATTGTATTGTTTATGAATTAGGATTTTAATTTGTTTATATGATTAAGTTTATTTGCAAATTGTTTATTCTGTGTTAAAAGGGAGTTAAAGCGCATTATATTTGTTTATCTATATAGTTGGTTAATGTTAGTTAGATTATGATTATTATATTTTTTATCCTGTATTCAGCTCTGGGAAGTGGGGGAGTGGGGGAAGGGTGCGTGGGTTTGGGGTATATTTTGCAATTTTTGTAAAACCTTTTAATAATAATAATAAAAAAAGTCTACAAGAAAACCACCCAGCTCAGAGAGCACCAAGGACCCCACAGTCCTCCTCCCCCCCCCGTGTTTCGAAGTTATTGAGGTTAAATGTATTGATGGTTTCAATTACTTTATTCTCAATTTAAACATTTCAGTAAACATCCACATACCTCTTTCACTAATAGATGGATTCCTTCGGGCACGTTATTCTGAATAATTTCCAAGAAAATAGGACTAAACGTGGCAGCCAGCTGTTTAATCTGGAGGAACGGAGAAGAATCGTTTTTCCAGCGGAAAAGGGAAAACCCAATTTGCAGCGTTGGACATATGATTGCGACCTATTGAGTTATCTGTTTTGTTTTTGTTTTTAATGCCACCTAATTTACAGGAGACTTCCCGCCTTTTCTATTTCGGAAGATCACTCATACAAAAAATCAGCCCAAACTGAAGTCTCCATAAAGATAATAAAACAATACCAGTAGTCCTCAATTTACCGTCATTTGTTTAGTGACCGTTTGAAGTTAAAATGGCGCTGAAAAAAGGGACTTGTGATAGGTCCTCCCACTTACGACCATATCACCACGGTTGCATGGAAAAAATTGGGTGCTTGGCAAATTTATGAGGGATACAGCATTCAAGGGTCACGGGATTGTCATCTGTGACCTTCCCAGCTTCCAACAAGCAAAGTGAAGGGGGGATTCGCTTAATGACCGTGTGATTCATTTAATGACTGCAGGGAGCAACAGTAGCAAAAAAAGCCATAAAATTGGGTACCACTTAATTAACACCCGTGTTACTTAGCAACAGAAATTCGGATCCAATTAGGGACGTAAGCTGAGGACTACCTGCAGCAAGGACATTAACTGGGTTCCTTCTAGCGCAGGGGTAGGCAACCTTGGCTCTTTTATGACTCGTGGACTTCAACTCCCAGAATTCCTCAGCCAGCATGGCTCAGCTTAGAAACCTTTCCCTTTCCCCTCAGTGTGGCTGGCTCAGGAATTCTGGGAGTTGAAGTCCACAAGTCATGAAGGGGCCATAGTTCCCGCATGCTGACTGAGGAATTCTGGGAGTTGAAGTCCCCGAGTCATGAAGGGGCCATAGTTCCCCCATGCTGACTGAGGAATTCTGGGAGTTGAAGTCCACAAATCATAAAAGGGCTATAGTTCCCCCATGCTGGCTGAGGAATTCTGGGAGTTGAAGTCCACAAGTCATAGAAGGGCTATAGTTCCCCCATGCTGGCTGACGAATTCTGGGAGTTGAAGTCCCCAAGTCATGAAGGGGCCATAGTTCCCCCATGCTGACTCAGGAATTCTGGGAGTTGAAGTCCAAGAGTCATGAAGGGGCCATAGTTCCCCCATGCTGGCTGAGGAATTCTGGGAGTTGAAGTCCCCAAGTCATGAAGGGGCCAAGGTTGCCTACCCCTGCCTTAAGAACTCTGGCAACAAAAGGGGGGCCAGACTCACTTAACAACTGCCTTGCTTAGCGGCATAAATCTGGGGTACCATTGTGATCGTCAACTTGAGGACCAACTGCAGTGCGGAAAATAAATGCAGAAAGGCAACTTACCTGGACGACACGCTGGTGGCTCGTAAGGACGGCATCCACTCGAAGTTTGTTGTCCTGTTCCCCGGTCAACACCAGCTCTTCAGTCTTCGTGGGTAGGGCATAGCTGGGGGAGAAACAGAGGAAGACACGGGGGGGGGATTACAGGTAGTCCTCGACTTACGACAACTGCCATCAACATTTCCATTGCTAAGCGAGACCGTCGTACCCGCCAGAGGCATTTTGGCCTGTTTATTTCTTAGGTTCGTATCCGACCTTCCTGTAACAGGAATTCAAACGCACAGGTGGTCCTCGGCTTACGGCCACAACTGAGCCCGTTTTCTGCTGAGGTGGTTGTAAAGTGAGTTTCCTCCCATTTTGCCACCTTTTTCGCCTCCGCTGTTAAGTGAATCCCTGCAGGTGCGGGGCCAGTTTTTGGGCACTCGGTCTCTAAAAGGTTCGCCATCACTGCCATAGGGTCATAATTGCAATGAGTTGTTAATGTAAGCGATGTTGTGTTATGATGCTTGCTATGTTCCAAATTATTAGCCAAATAAACCTCTGAATCTTAAAGTAAGAATGATTGTTTTGTGCTGCTGTCTCTTGTCTTTTTCACTGGGTTTTTCCAGGACAGGGGGGGAAAAAAATGGCACGGAAGAGGGAGATAGCACAGATTTGTGAAACTACTGGCAGCCAGAGGTGTGTGTGCCTTCCTTCCTTTGGAGGCTTGCCAGCTGACTGCATTGCCTCGGTACTGTGCCCTGGGTCATCACAAAAGCAGGGGTCCCCAACCTCCACCCCCAGGCCATGGACTAGCACACCAGCAACCGGTCCGCACGAACAAGCAAAGCCCCATTCACAAGATGCAGGCAGCACACAAAACCACGCACCTTCCGATCCGCGGAAAAAAACTCTCTCTGTGGAACCAGTCCCTGGTGCCCAAAAAGGTTGGGGGCCTCTGCACTAAACCACAGTTGTGTGTGTGTGTGTGAGTGAGTGGGCAGCACACCTTTTCACATCCGGAGCCTCTTACCTTTCGACCACACTGATCGACAACTTGTTGCAGAGCCGATGCACGTAGCAAGCGTAGTGCTCCACCAGAGAGACGTCGTAGCCCGTCAGCACAATGTTCAAGGTCCCATATTGATGTTCGGTGCCAGGGTCAATTTCCTTCATTTCCACATGATTCTTCCTTTTTTTAGGCTCCTGGGGAAAAGACAGCAAGGGTTTATTAAATTTATACAGGTAGACTTAACAATAGTTCATTTCGCTGGCGACTGGATGGGGTTCCCAATGTCAAATAATGGATACAACAATACAAGGAGATGTGTTCGACGATCCAAAAGCACAGACATGGAAGACGATAAGGCAGAGAAAGAAAGACAGAATAAGACAAAAAGAATGGAGTAGTGACTTAAGTATAGAAGTAAAATAAAATACATCTAAATAGATAAGATGTGTTTTTGGAATATAAGATATTGTTATGAATTAAGATAAAGAAAACTTTGGTTATTTAAAATTTAGAAGTATAAGTACTAATAGTTAAATTTGAATATTGATTTATGTATAAAGGCCATATAAAGGTAAATAGTCGAACGCCAAGAGAATAAAATTATAAAAATGCTAACATTTTATTTACTAAACCTAGCTTTCGTCAAGAGCTCTTGACATCATCAGGGTGTAAACGGTAGTCGTTGTGCTCGGCTCTTGGATCGTGTCATGGGTCCCAGCTGTATGCATTGTAATCTAAGTGTGTGTCCTGCATCGGGGTGTAGTTCCATGACACAATCCAAGAGCCGAGCGCAAATGATTGGAGGCTGCATATAAGCCCTCCCAACGACTACCGTTTACACCCTGATGATGTCAAGAGCTCTTGACGAAAGCTAGGTTTAGTAAATAAAATTTTAGCATTTTTATAATTTGTCTCTTGGTGTTCGACTATTTATTGATTTTAATATGAGTATACCCAAGAGTCATATTTTTACTTGCATAGCTGCAAGTATATATATATGCTAAAACTTTATTGATATATGTGATAAATATGTTCTTTAAGGATGATTAGTCTAAATATGAGATAGTAGATACAAAGAGGAAGAGAGAGGAAGAATAAGAATTAATTTAAACATAGACAGTATATATTAAGGGGGAAAAGAGAGGGAATATCTATGGCAGAGGTGGCGAACCTATGGCACGCGTGCCAGAGGCGGCACTCAGAGCCCTCTCTGTGGGCACGCGCGCCATGCTCCGGAGATGGCAACCCTCCCTCTTCAACCAGCTGCCTGCTAACTCGCCGAGGTCCCACGTGGCCAGATGCATCCCAGCACAGCTGGTTTCCCCCCCCCCGTCCTATCCCTCCTGGTCTCGCATGCTCTCCTTTTCCCAGGCATGAACCACTGCATCGTCTCCTCAGCTGTCGGACGGCCGTCCAGCTCAGAAGTGGCTTCTCTGAACTGGCAGCGGGCTACAAAGCCCCAGAGTGCATCGGTCGAGGGGCCGGCAGGCTGTGGCTGCTGATGGACACCGTCGGCCCCCATGCGCTCACTGGCCTCTGTGTGCGCAGACCGATGGTGTCAGGTAGCCCCTGCCTCTCCTTGCCCTGCAACAATGGCACCCTCACTCTGCCTCGCCTTGCCTCACCTCACAGAACGAGCCTCCTGCCCACTGCCCCATCTGCCAGAGACCCCCCTGGATCTACCCCAGCCCTGCCCGGCCTCCACAGGCATCCCTCCCCACGAGCAACATCGAGGTGACCACGCCCACCACAGCCACGCCCACCCAGTGGGCTACGCCCATCTGGCATCCGGCGATAAATAAGTGGGTTTTGGGTTGCAATTTGGGCACTTGGTCTCTAAAAGGTTCGCCATCACTGATCTATGGTAATAGTTTGAGATCTGTCCTAACGGTATCTGCATGTAATTGAGTTACTCATAACTCAGCCGCCAGGTTGCTTTTCAAATAAGTAAACGTAGTATCAGAAAATCAATAAAAAAAATTATAAAAAAACAACAACAGTTCACTTCGCCACTCTTCTAAGTTACGACGTTGCTGAAAACGGTGACTTACGGCCGTTTCCCGCACTTAGGACCATTGCAGAATCCTCGTGGTCGTGTGATCAAAATGCTCGGCAAGCTGACTCATATGTATGACGGCCGCAGTGTCCCGGGGTCGCGTGATCCCCTTTTGCGATCTCCTGACAAGCATTTGACTTTGCTGATCTCACTGTCAGGAAGTTTCTCCTTAATTTCAGGTTGCTTCTCTCCTTGATCAGTTTGCAACCGTTGTTTCTCGTCTGCTGGCCACCACCAAATGGCACAAAACTCACTTAACAACTGTCTTGCTTAGCAACAGGGGGCTGCTGGTAAGGAGGGGGGCGTGGGGGGAGGCGGGGCTGGGGCGATGGCGCATGTGCCCACAGAGAAGGCTCCAAGTGCTGCCTCTGGCATGCGTGCCATAGGTTCGCCACTACTGGTCTAATCTCTTCTTAAAAGCCTCCAGTGATGGAGCACCCACGATTTCTGGTGGCCAGCAGTTCCACTGGTTAACTGTCATCACTGTCAGGAAGTTTTTTCTTAATTCCAGGTTGCTTATCTCCTTGATCAGTTTGCAACCATTGTTTCTCGTCCTTCCCTCTGGTCCTTTGGAGAATAGTTTGACCCCCTCTTCTTTGTGGCAGTCCCCCCAAGTACTGGAGCGCTGCTATCACGTCTCCCCTATTTCTTCTTTTCTTTAGACTTTCCAAACCCAAGTCCCGCAAACATTCTTCGTATGTTTTGGTTTCCAGGCCTTGGATCCTCTTAGTTGCTCTTCTCTGAATTTTTTTTTCCAAACTCTCCACATCTTTTTTTGTGACACGGTGACCAACATTGGCTGCAGTATTCCAGGTGTATACTTAACAACCACCGAGCCCAAAATTTCTGCGGCTAAGCGAGAGAGAGTTGTTAAGTGCCCCATTTTACGACTTTTCTTGCCACCGTTGTTAAGTGAACCCCTGTTAACTTAGCAACAGGGTCGCTAAGCAAATCTGGTTTCCCTATTGACTTTGTTTGTCCGAAGGTGGCAAAAGGGGACAGCACGGGCGCTGTAACCGTCCCAAGTACATGCCAGTTGCCCAGCGTCCGGATTTTGATCACGTGACCACGGAGATACCGCAACGGTTGTGCGGGGGGAAAAAAACGGTCAAAAAATCACTTTTCCCATTGCTGCTGTAACTTTGAACCGCCGCTAAACGAAGAGCTGTATGTCAAAATCGCTCTAATAAATGGCATCTCCCACCCACAAGATTGGCTAAAATGTGTACCAATGTTTCCCCTAAATGTTGGAAATGTAATTTGACAATTGGAACTTACTATCATATGTGGTGGGAATGCACGCGAGCTCGTGATTTTTGGAACAGGATTAAAGTACGGTTGGAAGAAATATTAGAGCAAGTGGTAGAACCGAAACCAGAACTCTTTCTATTAGGTTTAACTATGCAAAAGCATGACAAAGGCGTACTTTATTTAATGCTACACATTTTAACGGCTTCCAGACTGGTTTTTGCTCAAAATTGGAGGAATAAGGGAACTCCAACGGAAGAAGAGATCCTGCATAAAATTTTATCACGTGCTGAGATGGACAGGCTTACAATGATTAGGAAAGACAAGACAGAACACGAATATTTCGAAATCTGGGGCAAATTTTACCTTTGGTATGAATTAAGGAGAACTGCTCAGACTTCAAGTTAATGGTAGAATTAAAAGATATATATAACTGTATATATAATTGTATATATAATTGTATTGTATAGAAGATGAGACTTATATAGAGGTTAAGAACAATGTATTAAACTTTTGTACCATGATAGGAACTGATAGGAAAATTCATTCTGGAATGTCATGTTTGTCCATTGTTGTTTTAATTGTATTATGAATAAAAACATTTTAAAAAAAATCGCTCTAATAAAAAGCAGAAGGAATAAAAACGGCAACACTGACATGTAATCAGTTGTAATCTCCTTTTTAATCGCCTTTTTAACAGCTTGCTGAGCAATCCATAGCCTCCTCCCAACCCAGAGAGCCCTCAGCCGATAGTCGTGCCCCTCTAGGAATCTTGTCTTTAAGAATCAGCAAAATTTGAGATTTGTTAATGCTCACCTCTGGCGGAAGGAGATGTCTGTACCGGCCAATGCCGTGGGTGGGCTGAGACCTGTAGTGCCTCTGAAAATTCTGCTGTACGACGCCTTTGAAAGAGCAAACAAAAAAATACAGAGATTTTAAAGATCTAGAGCAGATCTCAGCATTTTACACACCTACACACACGCACCTTGACCGGGCCACATCCAGTTCCTGTCGGGCCGGTGTGAGGTCAATTGGAAATTAGAGATCAAATGTAAATAATTCAGTTACTTGTCTGAAATGGCATAGGGCAGGGGTCTTCAACCTGTGGGCCGTGGCCCAGTAGAGGGCCGTGGGCTGCTGGCCACTGGGCCACGGCACAGGCTGGCCAGTGTGTGCACGCGCGCGTGCATAACCACCCACTCGCTCTAGCGCCGCGACTATGCGGCGCGAAAACAGGATGCTGCGCTGCACAGTGCAAAAATGGGCTGCCGCCATGCCTCGGGACACAAAAACGGGCCGCCGCCGCACCTTGGGGCACGAAAACGGGTCACTGCCGTGCCTCAAGGTGCAAAAACGGCTGTCGTCGCGCCACAGGCTGCGAAAACGGACCACCACCACGCCTCGGGGCACAAAAATGGGCCACCGCTGCGCCTCAGGCTGCGAAAACAGGCTGCTGCCACGCCTCAGGGTAGAAAAACAGGCCGCTGCCACATTGTAGGCTGTGAAAAACGGGCCGCCACACCTCAGGGCACAAAAACGGGCCACCGCAACACCTCAGACTGCAAAAACGGGCCGCTGCCATGCCTCAGGTTGCGAAAACAGGCCGCCGCCGCGCCTCAGGGTGCAAAGACGGGCCACCACCATGCCTCAGGGTGCAAAAACGGGCCTCAGGTTGCGAAAACAGGCTGCCGTGCCTCAGGTTGCGAAAACAGGTTGCTGCCACGCCTCAGGCTGCAAAAACGGGCCACTGCTGTGCCTCAGGTTGCGAAAACAGGCTGCTGCCGCGCCTCACAATATAAAAACCGGCCGCCGCCACGCCTCAGGCTGCAAAAACGGGCCACTGCCGCGCCTCAGGCTGTGAAAACAGGCTGCCGCCGCGCCTCAGAACACAAAAACGGGCTACCGCAGTGCCTCAGGCTGCAAAAACGAGACGCTGCCGCGCCTCAGGGCACAACGGGCCACCGCCGCCTCGGGGATCAAAAATGGGCCACTACTGCGCCACAGGGCGCAAAAATGGGACACTGCTGCGCCATGAGTCATGAAAACAGGACGCCGCCACACCACGGCGCATGAAAATGGGGCCACACCTCAGGGCGCAGAAACAGGGCTCTGTGCACAAGAACGGGGCAGGGCTAGCGAGTCTCACGCAAGCGCTAGCCCCGCCCCGTTTGCATCACGTGCGTGCTTGCGGCCCCGTGTGTGTGTGCGCATGCATAGAACGCTTTCCCCCTTTCCCTCAGGTCCGCCAACCAAGAAAGGTTGGTGATCTCTGGCACAGGGTCCTCTGCTTGAGCAGGGGGTTGGACTAGACCAGGGCTTTTCAACCAGGGGTATGGGTACCACCTGTGGTCCACTGGCACCTGGCAGGGGGTACGCGACCATCCTAAAAAAGGGGTAGTGGGGGAGGGGAATGAGCTGAACCGGTGGCAGCACCGCACAAGCCTGAGCGAGAGACGGCTGGAGCTGCAGAGCTGTCGGGGCTCAGCGGAAGCGCCAGGCTCTAGCTGCAGCTCGGCACTGATCCTGGTGCTTCTGCTGAGCCCTGAAGAAGCACCTATCAGCTGGAAAGCAGCACTGATCCTGGCACTTCTGCTGAGCCCAGAAGAAGCGCCGATCAGCTGGAATGTTGCAGCCTCTCCAGGGTCTTGTGATTTACATTCAGATGCTTGGCAACTGATTCATATTTATGACGGTCACAGTGTCCCAGGGTCATGTGAAGTGACCAAAACCTGCTGCAACCACCCAGCAGACGGGGGGGGGGAATAAAAACCAAACACCCCCCCCACCCCACTGCCAATCCTCAACAGAATTGCTCACAACAATGGAAACCTCGGACAGGAGGAAGAGCACGGCCGGGCGGGCAGGCAGGTGTCTTGCTTGGCTATGGCTGGGGGGGCACTTTTTTCAGTGCCATTGTAACTTTGAACAGTCACTAAGCGAACTGTTGTAAGTCGAGGACTACCTGTACTTTATCCCTTTTTTTTTTTTGGTCATCAAGTTTTTGACCCCTTGCTAGGCGACGGGGGGGGGGGGTCCTCAGATGTTGCCATGTCCTAAAAGTGGCACAATGGGTGAAAAGGTTGAAAAGCCCTGGACTAGATGACCTCCAAGGTCCCTTCCAATTCCATTCTGATTATGTGCATGTATGTAACAGTATCTCTCATGTATGTTGGAACGACTGTGTAGCTGGGAAATGCAGTGGTTGTTATCCAGCATGTCAAAGGGAATAGACCCGGGAAGGCTGATCCGTCTGAAACATTTTTACTGTGGGAAAATGACTGGGGAGAGGCCCACTCTATGGCCAGCTGTTTTGACCAAAAAAGGGGAGAATATAATATCCTCTCATCTCTTTATTGAATTTATTTGCTGCCCATCTCGTAACAAACAACTCTGAGCAGCAAATTCATCATAATCACAGCATAGCCCCAAAGACGGTTCTCTTTCCCAGGTTATGACAAATTGTTTTTTTAAAAAAAAACACAAAATCTTCTTACCTGCAGAACAGATTGGATTCCTTCTGGATGATTTTAACAAAAGGCTAAAACACAAACAGAGAGATAAAATCCTTATTAAACTTGGGAAGTACTGCCACAGGACAAAAACCTTCACAGCCTTCTTGAGCTTCTCTAATTAAAATGTAATTAGCATGCAAATCTCCCCTCCCAACTGGCAATTTGCAAATCTCTACGAAAAGTGCAAGTCAAAAAAAAAAAACCAAAGACAACAATCCTGCGTTCATTTATTTCTTCTATCAAAAGGAGTTTCCCTCTTACAACGTTTACAAGAAGTGTCAACATTCTTCTTGTCTTTTTAGCGATATCTTCCATCAGGACACAAAACAAGACACAGATGGTTGTCAATTAACTGGGGCCAGAATTTCTGTTGCTTAGCAAGGCAGTTGTCTATTGAGTTGTCCCCAATTTTATGACTTTGGCCATTGTTAAGCAAACCGCTGCAGATGCTAAGTGGATCAGCCTTTGCTAAACAAAATCCAGTTCTCTCATTGAGTTTCCTCATTAGAAGCTATCTGGGAAGATTGCAAATGGTGATCATATGACTCTGAGACGTTGCAACCATCATAGATGCTGATTACTAAGCTCCCAAATCTTAATGAAGTGGTCATCGGGATGCTGAGATGATCACAAGCGTGAGGAACAGTCATAGCTCACTTCTTCCAAGGCGACTGTAACTTCAAACCGTTGTTAAACAAATGGTTGTTAAGGATTATCTGTAATGTGCAGAGCACCGGGTACGCTACCTGAAAAAAGCAGATCCTTGCTTTAAAACAGATTCCTTTCCCAGGGACAAAACCTGCAGGAAGAAAGTTAAAATCGTCAGTTATTGAAATAAGAAATACGTATCAAGCTCTTTTCAAAGTACAAGGTTACTTAGTGACTTTACAAAATTGACTGTATAAACCTGCAAAACTGTTTGTAAGAAACAGTAACCCAGCTGATGTCCTACATTTCTCTTTCTGCTTCGTTTCTCTCCCTTCCAGGCAACTATTTCAACAGTACAATATTTAGGGGAACAACGAAGCCTAAATTCATCCTTAATCTTGCACTCTTGACCTAAAATGTATGACTGTTGTTGTTACTTGCGAAGTCGTGTCCGACCCATGGCGACCCCATGGACAACGTTCCTCCAGGCCTTCCTGTCCTCTACCATCTTCTGGAGTCCCTTTAAGCTCATGCCTCCTGCTTCAGGGACTCCATCCAGCCACCTCCTTCTTTGCCGCCCCCTTCTTCCATTGCCCTCCATCTTCCCCAGCATGAGGCTCTTCTCCAGTGAGTCCTTCCTTCTCATTAGGTGGCCAAAGTACTTGAGTTTCAACCTCAGGATCTGGGGAGGACTCGGGGTCGGGGTTGATCTCCTCTAAGACTGATCGATTGGATCGCCTTGCAGTCCAGGGGACTCGCAGGAGTCTTCTCCAGCACCAGAGTTCAAAGGCCTCCATTCTTTGGTGCTCAGCCTTTCTTATGGTCCAACTTTCACAGCCGTACGTTGCAACTGGGAAAACCATGGCCTTGACTATACGCACTTTTGTTGGTAGGGTGACATCTCTGTTTTTTAGTATGCTGTCTAGATTTGCTGTAGCTTTCCTCCCCAGGAGCAAGCGTCTTTTAATTTCTTGGCTGCAGTCCCCATCTGCGGTGATCCTGGAGCCCAGGAAGATAAAATCGGTCACTACCTCCATTTCTTCCCCATCTATTTGCCAGGAATTGAGAGGGCCGATGCCATGATCTTGGTTTTCTTTTTTTTTTTAAATATATTTTATTGGTTTTTTAATTTTAACAAAGAGTACTTTAGATACACCGTGCTATTTGGGTAAACAAACAATTGAAGGTAAAAAAACATACATAAACAGCTCAACTTAATACATTCACTATCATCTCTCTATTTCTCACAAATAACATAATAGATTTAATATATTCCATTTCTAGCTTAAATTTCTGTTACTAGTCCACCTGTTTTAAAGCTTTATCAATTTAAAATTACCATAATCAATTATTGTTTTACATCAACAAATTATCACTTCAAGTATCTCTACCATGTATATTGAAGTTTTTAATCTCTCTCAACCCTCTTCTTATCAATGATCTTGGTTTTCTTAATGCTGAGTTTCATGTATGATACACATATCTTTAGTTCAATACAGATAGACCTCAGCTTACAACAGTTCATTTAGTAGCCGTTCGAAGTTACAACGGCATTGGAAAAAGGGACTTACGACGGTTTTTCACACTCACAATCGTTGCCTCAGCCCTGTGCTCACGTGATCAAAATTCGGAGGCTTGGGCAACTGACATTTATGACCGTGTCCCAGAATCACCTTTTGACACCTCCGGACAAGCAAAGTCAATGAGGAAGCTCGGTTTATTTTATCACTGTGTTACTAACTTAACTGCAGAGATTCACTTAAGAACCGTGGCAAGAAAGGTCATATAATGGGGCAAACTCACTTAACAATTCTTTCACTTAGCACCAATTGGGCTCAACTGCGGTTGTAATTTGAGGACTAGCTGCATGCTGCCCATGTCCCTATTTTGGGGCTCAATTGTGGTCCAAGTCAAGGATTAATTCTCGATTGTCCTGACACTAGATTTACATTTTTAAAAGGGAAAAAAAAAGGCCTTGAAAAGTATAAATAACCAATTGGAACATCTATCAGGGGAATGGGGCATTTTTAGGAAGAAAATAGCTATTCTTGGGGGGGGACATGTTTATAAACAGTAAGAAAGGCAGGATAAAACCTCAAAGAAATAAAGGAGTAAAGTGTATTAAATCCCAAATAAAGAAAGTAGAAAGTGCAAAAGCAGAGAAATATAACAATAACAATAAAATAACAACAATAATAGTTATATTTACATATTTACATATATTTAATAGTTTTATTTACATCCCTATTATGGAAAAAAAATAAATAAGAAAGTTTGGATAAACCAAATTAGCCCCAGACAAGTAATTCACCAATTCCCCAAGCACTCGCTCGGTTCCCCCCTCCCCTTTCCCATCCACTCACGGTCTCCCACCTTGAGGACCCCCAGAGGGCTCGGCTGGGCATGATGGGAGCTGGAATCCCACCCACCTGGCAGAGGAGGATAGGGGTTCGGGACGGGGGCGTCCCCTGCCCAAGATACCTACTTTCCCCAAGGTCGCACTCATGATGCTCAGCGACGCCCCCGACCCTCCAGGCGGTAACCACGGCGACGGGAGGGGGCTGAAATCACGAATCCGGAGAGGTCACCCTAATGCGTTCCCCCGCAGCTCGGAGGTCCGTCGCTAAAACGGCCCCCCTTCCTCCCTCTCCCGCGGACTCCAAGTTCCGCGGCGAGTTTGTTCCGCGGCAGCCAATCAGGAGTGGCCTCTCCGCAGTGGCTGTTTTGATTGGCTACGAAAGGAGCACCGAGAGAGATAAAGAGGAAGCGGTAGAGAATTGTACAGAATAGCAGAGTTGGGAGGGCTCTTGGAGGTCATCTAGCCCAACCCCCTGCTCAAGCAGGAGATCCTATACCAGGGGTAGGAAACCTTGGCTCTTTTATGACTCATGGACTTCAATTCCCAGAATTCCTGAGCCAGCATGGCTCAGCTTGGAAACAAAAAAGCACCACCTGCATCTGGGTTTGTTTGCGTGTGGCTACCTGTGTTGTGCAAATCCAGGAATGGTGGCTTATATGTGGGAATGAATGTCAACCAGCACATTAAAGCCTTTTCAGGTGCGATCTGCCCCCATCCTTTTGGCCTTTGGTAAAAGACTTAAAACCTGGTTTGGGGACTGGATGGGGCCCGTTTCATTCCGGAGGTGGTTACAGATATTCAAAGAGAAGGACGAGGGGGGACATGATAGCAGTGTTCCAATATCTCAGGGGCTGCCCCAAAGAAGAGGGAGTCAAGCTATTCTCCAAAGCACCTGAAGGCAGGACAAGAAGCAACGGATGGAAACTAACTAAAGAGAGAAGCAACCTAGAACTAAGGAGAAACTTCCTGACAGTGAGAACAATTAACCAGTGGAACCACCTGCCTCCAGAAGCGGTGAATGCTCCAACACTGGAAGTTTTTAAGAAGAGACTAGACAGCCATTGGTCTGAAATGGTGTAGGGTTCTTGCCTGAGCGGGGGGTTGATGACCTCCAAGGTCCCTTCCAACTTTTATTATTATGGATCATCGCAGTCAGCCAGATGCTCAGACTGGATTTGGCATTTTGTCTACCTATCGAATCCTTACCCAGGACCTGGGATAGGCAGATGTGGATGTTTGTATTATTATTATTATTATTATTATTATTATTATTATTATTATTAACAACCATTTGTTTAGTGACTGTTCAAAGTCACAATGGCACTGAGAAAAGTGACTTATGACCGTTTTTCACACCTATGACCGGTGCAGCGTCCCCCTGGTCACATGATCAAAATTGGGATGCTTGGCAACTTACTCATATTTATGATGATTGCAGCATCTGGGGGTCAAGCAGTGGGGAAGCCAGATTCACTTCACAATCGTGTTACTCGCTTCCCAACTGCAGTGATTCACTTAACAACTGTGGCAACTGAATGGCGGGGAATGGAAGGATTCATAACTCTTTGCAGACAGCTGGTCATTTGCATTTTTTAGAGGGTCGTTGAGGCCACCTGGAGGTTTGTGTGTGTCCTCAGGATCAGCTGAGGGGTGCAAATGGGTGTGGAGCCTTCTTAGCTGCAGGATGTTCCACACACACACAAAAGCTCCACACCCATTTGCACCCCTCAGGTGACCCTGAGGACACATGTAAACCTCCAGGTGGCCTCAACGACTCTCTAAAAGAAGGCAAATGACCAGTTTTTCTGCAAGGAGTATAAATCTTCCCATTCCCCACCATCCGGTCAGAGCGGATGGTGAAGATGAGAAGCGAAACGTCTTCAAAGAAAAAACAAGAAAGTCCAGTTGCCTCCTGAAAAAACATCTTTGGGTTTTTCCTTGGAGACGTTTCGCTTCTCATCCCAGAAGCTTCTTCAGCTCTGACCGGATGGTGGGGAACAGAAGGATTTATACTCCTTGCAGAAAAATTGGTCATTTGCCTTCTTTTAGAGGGTCGTTGAGGCTACCTGGGGGTTTACATGTGTCCTCAGGGTCACCCGAGTGGTGCAAATGAGTGATCTATCTATCTTCAATCTGCAACACAATCCTTTCAGCAGTTCCAAGAAAGCTCCACACCCATTTGCACCACTCAGGTGAGCCTGAGGACACAGGTAAACCTCCAGGTAGCCTCAACAACGCTCTAATACAGTGGTTCTCAATCTGTGGGTCGGGACCCCATTTGGGGTCGATCGACCATTTCACGGGGGTTGCCAAAAACGCAGTCCGCCACTTTTTCCCCCTTTTCCTTAGCTGTGCTACTTCATTTTCTTCTATTGGCTTTCGAAAGCCAATAGAATAGACTCTCTTGAATAGAGTCTAATTCTATTGGCTTTCAAAAGCCCATAGGAATTGTCCAGGCTGTCTCTGCCCTGCTGAGCCCGCCAAAAGTCCCATTCTGCAAACGGTGCTGCACCAGTTGAGTAGTCCTTGACTTACGACCGGTGGAGTAGTCCTCGACTTACGACCGGTTGGGGGTCACGGCATTAAAAAGGTTGAGAACCACTGCTCTAAAAGGATGCAAATGACCCGCTGTCTGCAAGGAGTATAAATCCTTCCCTTCCCCACCATCCAGTCAGAGCCGAAGAAGCTTCTTTGGATGAGAAGCAAAACGTCTTCAAAAAAAAACAAGAAAGTCCACTTGCTTCTAGAAAAAGCACCTTTGGGACAACCAGGATCTGGATGGCTGAGAACCTCCATAGATAGAGACCATCTTATCTTATCTTGTCTTGTCTTGTCTTGTCTTATCATCTTATCTTAAGTCAGTGATGGCGAACCTTTTAGAGACCGAGTGCCCAAACGTCAACCCAAAACCCACTTATGCACTGTTGGGTGCCGGGTGGGCGTGGCCGCCGGGTGGGTGTGGCCCGCCGGATGGGCATGGCTACAATGGTCATGGCAGATGGGTGGGCGTGGTCAGGGTGGGCATGGCCAGCTCAATGTTGCTCTTGGGGAGGGACGCCTATGGGGGCCGGGCAGGATCGGGGGAGATCCAGGGGTCTCTGGCGGGTGGGGCAGTGGGCAGGCGGCTGGTTCTGCGGGGTGAGGCGAGGCAGAGCAGTGGTGCCATGTTGCAGGGCAAGGCGAGGCAGTGGCCGGGATGGCCGCTGCCTGACACCATTGGCCCACGCACACAAAGGCCAGCAAGCGCATGGGTGCTGGGATGTATCCAGCCACGTGGGACCTTGGCGAGTTAGCGGGCGGCTGGTTGAAGAGAACGGTTGCCATCTCTGGAGCATGGCGCGTGTGCCCACAGAGAGGGCTCCGAGTGACGTCTCTGGCACACGTGCCATAGGTTCGCCACCACTGTCTTAAGTGGAACTAGATCAGTGGTTCTCAACCTGTGGGTGGGGACCCCATTTGGGGTCGAACGACCATTTCACGGGGGTCGCCAAACAACGCAGTCCGCCATTTTTTTCCCCCTTTTCCTTAGCTGTGCTACTCCCTTTTATTCTATTGGCTTTTGAAAGCCAATAGAATAGACTCTCTTGAATAGAGTCTAATTCTATTGGCTTTCAAAAGCCAATAGGAATTGTCCAGGCTGTCTCTGCCCTGCTGAGCCCGCCAAAAGTCCCATTCTGCAAACGGTGCTGCACCCGTTGAGTAGTCCTCGACTTACGACCGGTTGAGTAGTCCTCGACTTACGACCGGTTGGGGGTCGCGGCATTAAAAAGGTTGAGAACCAATGAACTAGATTGAAATCTCTGGAGCCTCCACCTGTCATGCTGCGTGCCGTAAGCTTTGATTGCAGGTCTTCGCCGTTGCCCGCTCTTGAATATCTAGGATGAATCACAGAACACGGAGGAAGCTGGCTGGGTTAGGAATAGAACAGACGGCGCCTTCCGTTTAGCAGAGGTTGGGGAAGAGAAAATAAAGATCACGCAGTAATGTGTTGCTGCAAGGTAGCGATGGTTTGATATCCTCGGAGGCAGGTGCTTAGCAACCCACGAGTCTGCTAATGGGATCAATCCACCGGGGAGTTTTTGCCTTGCAGCAAACTTGATTGAAAGGCGTGGGAATTGTACGGGGGGGGGGGCTGGAGGGTTCTGCACGCCTAGGTGAGGTTGGGCAGCTCTCATTCGTTTCCTGATCAATTATCCGAGGCTCCCAGCAAGAAAAGACAATCACAAAGTCGCTCTCCTCGCCAGGCCGGCCTTCACGAGCCCCGCTTTTCTCCCCATTGGTTGAAAAGGGACACCGATGTCGCTCCGCCATTTGTTTAAAAAAACACACGAGTTGTCCTGCTGTTTAAATGCTGTGAAGGCATTTTGAAGCAGCTCTGTGGTCATCTTAACTTCCAACATAGAACAACAGAGTTGGAAGGGACCTTAAAGGTCTTCTAGTCTAACCCCCTTCTGCAAGCAGGGCACCCAAAACCATTTTAAACCAGTCTCTTTTTAAAAGCTTCCAGCGATGGAGCACCCACAACTTTTGGAGGCCAGCCGTTCCACCGATTAATTGTTCTCGCTCTCAGGAAATTTCTAGGTTGCTTCCCTCCTTGATTAGTTTCCATCTCTTGCTTCTTGTCCTGCCTTCAGGGGCTTTGGAGAAGAGGTGGACCCCCAATTCTTCTTTGGGGCAGCCCCTGAGATATTGGAAGAGTGCTGTCATGTCACCCCTGGTCCTTCTTTTAATTAGACTAGACATAACCAATTCCTGCAGCTTGTCATTGTATGTGATAACAGAGTTGGAAGGAACCATGGAGGTCTTCTATAGGGTATAGGCCTAGGCCAGGGGTAGGCAACCATGGCTCTTTTATGACACGTGGACTTCAACTCCCAGAATTCCTGAGCCAGCCATGCTGAGGGGAAAGGGAGAGGTTTCCAAGCTGAGCCAGGCTGGCTCAGGAATTCTGGGAGTTGAAGTCTCCGAGTCATGAAGGGCCACAGTTCCCCCATGCTGGCTCAGGAATTCTGGGAGTTGAAGTCCACAAGTCATAAAAGAGCCAAGGTTGTCAACCCCTGGCCTAGCCCTAGACATTTTCTAAAGCCAGGATGATTTTATATTCAAAGCGAGATAGACAGCCATCAAATCAAATAAATAAATAAATAAATAGTACAGGTGGTCCTCGACTTACAACAGTTCATTTAGTGCCCGTCCGAAGTTCGGCTCGAACACATAACTTACGACTGTTTTTCACACTTACGACCACCGCACCTCCCCATCATCACTTGATCAAACTCCAGACA